CCACTGCTACTCTTACAGGCAAAGAAACTGAAGCAAAGAGGTGAGTGCTTTGCCCCAAGGCACCTGGCCTTTAACATGGAGCTGAGCTTGAGGCTAACTGGGCTCCTGTCACCACCCACAGCCCTGTGTGGTAGGAGCCCAGGGTGGGCTGTGTCTCCTGGACAGAGGTGGATAGAGCAGGGAACACATGACCCAGCAGTGTCTGGCTGGCTGACAAAATGTGCTAGAAATAACCATTTGCACCCCAGGGTTATATGACTTATTAAGGATCTTTAACAATCGCAAGTTAGGGGAGAGGGCTGCAGGATGGCCTGTTTGCCTTGTAAATGTTTCCAAACATGCCTTACTGGCTATGAGGGACCTTCCTAAGATGACAAGTTCCTTTCTGGCACTTTCTAGCTGACTGGGGTCATAGACCTCAGCTTGGGCTAAAAGAGCATTGAGGGAGAGGGACATTTCCTTACAGCTCAGCCATAGGATGAGTCTGGCCAAGTTCTTTCTGAAAGTCCATGCTTGGGGATGTGCTGCCAAGAACATTCTTGGCTACACACAGAGGCTGCTCTGGTGAAGCCACGTGGGTCTGTGCTGAAGGAGCAGGAAGCCAGAGCTCCCTCCTACCTGCCTGGCCCAGGTGCGTTTTGTTGCTAGGACTTAGCCCAGATCAGAAGTCTCTGCCTCACCCTGTGCAGCTTGGCACTGTGCAGCGGCCCGTGGGGCCCTTACAGGACACAGCAGGTGCAGGACACAGGCCGCTGTTGCCTCAGCTGCTGCTGGAGCTGCTCCTTCTCCACCGTCAGCACCTTCACCTTCTCCTCCAGCTTGCTCAGCTCTGTTGTCCACTTCTGAGGGGCAGCATAGCACAAATGGCCAAGCTGATGTCAGCCCCAGCTGTCCACCCTCACCCTGGAGTGAACTGTAGCCCGAGGGGGGGGGAGCCATGACCCAGGCAGCCCTGGGTTCTTGAGAGGCTACAGAGCACGGATGTGGGGAGGGAGTGTTCCTCTGCAGCCTCCCAGATGCTAGGATACGCACAGCTGCCCCTTAGCCACATCCTTCCCTCAAACTGACTGCCTCCTTTGCCCTCTGCCTTTCCACCACCTGGCAGTTCCCTCTTGCAAAAAGACCTCCCCTTGGGACTATGTTCAGCACACCCCTCCCCCCCTCTGGAGCTCCCCCGAATGTATTACACAGTCCTTGGGGTTTTCTTGTAACTCTCCAATATTCTCATTTCTCCGTTCTCCTGTTGTTCTCAACAACAGAATACCTCAACCACTCAAGTTGGGTGGGTGAGGGTGTCAGGCACCATGGAAAGAGGGACATAGATTTTGAGGAGACTGCTTGGGCCTCTCCCCTAGCCACTGGACAGTGTACTATAGGGGATGGCCCTCCTTTGTGCTCATGGGTTGACACAGGACACAAGGACCCGAGGACACAAGATGTTCTGCACAGGACTGCTCAGAGAGGCTGGAGGAGCTGGGTTAGCTGGGCCCTGCCCACTGCAGCCTGGGCCTCCTCACCTGCCTGTACCACTCCTGGATGGCGCTGACGGACAGTGGCCCCTGGATGCTCCCGTCCCGCCGCAGGAACACCTCCCCCTGGTCTGTCTCGTACAGCTGGGGCTCCCCTTGGGTCTTGGGGGTGTGCACAGTCAGACGGAGCACCTTGGTGGGGGAATGGCAGCTTGGGTGGAGGCCACAGCTGACGCTGGCAGCCCCAGTCCTGCCCAGGACTCTACCCTGGCCCTGGCTCCTTAAGGGAGCAGTGGCTCCTAGAGGGATTCCTTTCCCCACCCCCCTGCTCCACTCCCCACCCCTGCAAGTAGCACAGGCCATTGTCCTGCTGGGCCATGACAGATGACAACCCTGTTTGTCCCACAGGCTTACCTTGAGAGGCACATTGGTGGTGGAGGCACTGATGACAGGGATGAAGGTGAGGGTGTAGGCGCTGGGAAAGACCTGGGGCTTGAAGCTCTGCAGGATGGAGTCCACCAGCAGGCGCGCTCGGTCCTCATCGCGGTGGGTGCAGCGGATGCCCTGCACCAGGCCGCTGTCCTCCACGCCCACTAGCAGGCTGCCTCCTTCACTGTTGAGGAAGGCGCATACATAGCGCCGCACGTGGTGCTTGAAGGCGAGGCTCAAGTACTCGCCACCGCCCCGCTTGAACTCCATGTTTCGTGTCTCGTTGCCCAGGAAAGTGCCCTGGAAGAGGTGCTCCTGGCCCAGGATCTCCTGGTGCACAATGGCGCTGTCAGAGCGCACGCCGCTGGGCCGGTTCTGGGAAATCTGCCACTGATGGGTGCAGTGCCACCTAGATGAGGAGTCTGCAGGTCCTGTTGGCATGGGGAGACTGGAGCCATGGCTGAGACCCGGGCTGGGACCAGGGCTGGGGCCAGGGCTGGGGCCTCGGCTTGGGCCACTGTCCTCCTCCTGCTGGGGTAGGGGTCGAGAGTGGGGCATATGGATCCTTGGGAAGTCAGGAGCCCCTGCCTTGAGACAACTGCCGGACTTCCAACAGCGCCCCTGCCTGAGGTCCAGCCCCCGTGGACATCCTGATGCCTCCTTTAGTCTGATGGCCTAATTCGCTCACCCTCCTGCCATCAATGTGGGACCACCCTCCTGGTTCAAGGGTCTAAACTAGCCATTGTCCCTTCCCCTCCTGGCCTCTTTCTAAGTCTAGGTGTCTGGCTTGTGGTATGCCTGGGTGGGTAAGAAGGGAATTTTCTTCCTAGGACTGGGAGCCGGCACATCTGTGTGCCAGTCTTTTCCCACTTGGGTTGCAGATAGTGTGAGGCCCAGGGCCTGATGATTGAGTTCCTAAGTACCCTGAGGTCCTCATCCACGTCAAGTTGCATGTTTCTGAACTGAGAGACTGCACTGGCTTCATGATCTCCCTGAAACCTGACTGCTACTTCCTGGACCTCTGGCAAGTCCTCCTGAATCCCAGCTCTCCTCTGCCCTTCCTAAGCCCACTTCCATGGCTACTGATCTGTTGAGAGAGTGGTCACGTCCTTGTGGCTCTTTCCCTAGTCTGGGCCTCATCAGGAAGCCCCTCACTGACTCTCCTTTTCCCAGGCATCCTCCTCTAGCCCTAGGGCAAGTCAGGTGGTCACACCCCCTTGGAAACCTGTTCCTGGCTCCTGCTGCTTTCGCCTCTCCAGGGCTGGGGGCTAAGCGTGGGCTGGCACCTGCGATGAAAGGCACTGCCCTACTAGCCTTGTGGCTCCCCAGAGAAGACTCACTTATCAGTCCAGGGACACCAAGCAGCTTTCCCTACAAACTCAAACCCTTGCCCCGTCCCTTTGCAAGTGCTGGTCCTTCTGCCTGGAATGTCCTGAGTGCCTCTCCAGTTCTCCAGGTCCCAGCTTGTTCCCTGAGAATTTGTCCTAGAGAGCAGTGAGGACTGCCCCATGTCTTCAGACAGCCACCTCAGATTTGTGTTGGTGGAATCTGGCGCTGCTCATGAGTGGGGGCTCCTTGAGGGCAGGGCCAGGACAGAGTGGTGTTGGTGTTTGTCTACTGGGCAGGTGAGGTAGGCCAAGGAGAAAAATCAGGACCTGTGTATCTGAGGCCCTCTCAGGCTGAGGCTGGAATGCAAAAGGGCCCAAGAAAAAGCCCCACACTTTGGCTTTTCTTCAGACAAGCTCAGGCTGGCCATCTGTTCTAAGGGATAGTGTGGCCCTCTGGGTGAAAGTGGGCCATATGAGCTTCAGGCTTTAGGCCAGTATCACTTGAGCAGCTGCAAGTCTGCAGATCTGTCCTCATTTTTTCAAAGACATCCCCCAACCCTACAGGCCATTCTCACCCAGGCCTCCCTTCTGGGTGTCTTTGGGACTGGCTTGGGGAGGTCCCACTTACCTCTCTATAGATTAGTGGCTCCCGGGCCTCACTCAATACCAGCTCCTTCCCCCGGGCTGTCAGCTCTTTGAGGATCAGCTTCTCCTCCATGGCCATCTGCAGGCGCCAGGGTAGGGAGGCCAGGACATCCTTGTTGGTGGCCACCCGCACGAACGCATAGGCATTCCGTGGCCGCCTCACCACCTCTATGTGCTCCCGTGGGATCCGCAACTCAAGTCGCTCCAGGGTATCCCGCAGCAGGCAGGCCAGCACGGGCACTGAGAACTGTGGATTCAGGTGGCCCACATAGAGCGTGTACATGTGGGGAACTGCCCTAGGGCTCGTGTCTTCGGGCAGGGACTCTTCTTGGGGGAGCTTTGGCAGGGGCTGTTTGCTCTGGGACTCCATGAAGGTCTCCCACATCTGTGTTTGTGCTGATCTCTTACTTGGGGTCATGGGGTGTCTTCCTTGGAAGGGATTCAGGGTTCCTCCCTGTCGACTGCTCCTCCAAGGGCCCTGGGCTCTCAGATGGCCCAGGACCTCACAGGGGACTCAGGTGTGCCAAGGCTCCTAGGGGCCTCTCAGACTGGCAGGGCCACAGAGACAGAGAAGGAGGGCAGAGGGCCACCAAGAAGTGGTCTGCCACACACCTGGGCAAGAGAGAGTGGGAAAGGACTGAGCCAGACCTCAGAGCCTGCAGGTTGACTGAGGGTATTTGCCCAAGGAAGAGCAGGAAGGCCCAGAATTCAGGTTCAAGGGTCTAAACTAGCCTAAAAGCCTCACCACATCCTCTTGATGACCCCAGGGGTCCTGTCTTCCATCCCCAGGCCACAGGCTAGGGGCCTCGTAAGTACGCTTGGGGTTTTCTGCCAACTAGAAGATTTTTACGGCCTCCAGGTTCCAAAGAAACCTTTTAAAGAGGGTGTTTTGGAGAGGACTTAGCCCAGGACTCAGGGCTGGCCAGCAGCCCCATGGCTGCTTTTGCCTGCCTGGTCCAAACCCAGTAGGGACTCTGAAATTAGTTAAGTATGAGGTCAGAGGGTTCTTATGCTTTTTGGCACACTTACAAAATCTATGTTCCCTCCCCAGAAAAATGGCCTTTGCATATATATATATATATATATATATATATATATATATATATATATATATATAATTTGAGGAGGCTGAGAATGGGGTTTAGAGCTGGGCTCCTGTGCCTTGCCCCCAGGCCCAGGAGCTGTGCCTGTGCACATACCAGTCCCTCCACTCACCCCCACACAGCCAGCCTCTGGCTGGTGTGGTAGGTGCCACCAGCCTGCATCTTTTCAGGTTGGATCCTGGAGGCAGGTGGGGTCTGGGAGCCACCGCGGCTGGGGCAGGGGCATTCAAGGCAAACAGGAATAGGAGGAAAGAGGCCTAAGTCCTTCATATCCTTCTGGCTCCTGGAGGAACATGAGAGGTGCCAGTTCTGAGCTCCCACAACCCCGACCCCTACTAGCACCTCCCAGGGCACTTAGAGCTTAGCATGGAGGCAGGGAGAACCAGGGTCCTGGGAAATGGGTGGGGCCTGCACAACTGCCTCTGTGATCTCATGAGGGTCAACAATGCCTTCTTGGTCAGCTGTGGACAAGGCCTCTCCCACACCTGCAGACATGGCTGCCCACCAACCACATAAGCTTGATCATGGGGCTCCTTCTGGGCAGCTTTCAGAAAGTAGGGGCTGAAGACATAATTCCTCCCTTTGCAGTGCCTTTCTAGGCCCCAATGCCCACGCAGGCCACCCAGTTGCCACCACTTTCGGTCCTGGTGCTTAAAACCTATACTTCCTTTTTTGTTCTCAGGATTCCCTCCTGTGGACTGTTCCTCCCAGGGCCCTGGGCTTTCAGATGGCCCAGGACCTCACAGGAGACTCAGGTGTGCCAAGCCTCCTGGGGGCCTCACAGATGGGCAGAAACTAACTGGTCAGGACCACAGAGACAGAGAAGGAAGGCAGAGAGTCCCAGCTGCTCCCAGGATGGACCAAAATACACAGGGTAGCTTCCAGAACCACCCCTGACAACAGGCCCTTCTCTATGCCAGGGACAAAAGTTGCTATCTAGAAGAGTCCTGAAAAATAGATCAAGTGTTGTTGTCTCTTTTGAAGTACAGGGTTGTTACCTGTTGTTTGACTGGGACGAAGACATGGGTCATGCACAGCCTCTCCAAATGCAGGGACCTGCTCCTGGCAAGTGGGGACTTTGGTAAGTGTATTTCAACATATTCTCTCTCATGCTGCTTCTGGAAGCTTCTGGTTATGGGGAGTGAGCGTGGAGGACAGAGGTGATGCTTCGACTGACTGAAGGACTGCTTGACAGCAGGCAGCCATTCTGAAGATGTTAAGTTTTGTTTCCCTTAGGGATGGGAGCAGAAGCTCAAGTGGGGAACTGGAGGAGAGACGATGGTGTGGGGGAAGGGAAGAAGCCCCAGCCCTTCATGGTGGCAGTGTGGGGCTCTGAGAAGACTGGGCAGCTGCACTGTCCTTGCCCAGGCCTGGAGCCAGGTCTGCCTCAGCTGTCTCCATAGCCCTGAGAGTAATGAAGGGACAGCCTGAGATGTCCTGGGATCCCTGAGCCCTTCTTCCAGCCTTTCTCAACTGTGTCATCCATGAGGTGTTCTCACAGCACTGGACAGCTCGGCTGCAGCTGTTTCAGGATGGTTAACGCCAGTTGTGTTGGGTTGTGTGAAAAGAGACAGCTGGCCACAGAAGAGTCCTGGGGTGAAACACATGAACCAACCAGGAGTGTTCTCCTTCCTTATCTCACTGCCTTGCCACAGGCAGCTGTTTGGCATGAGATTTCCCATGCCAAGTTGCATGTCAAAGCTTTCCCGCCCTCACTGGCAATCTCTCTAAGTCACGTTGTCACCCATTTTTCCATAGCCTTTAACAGACGTATATGAGCTGAACATTCATTTCACTTCCTTTGGGGGTAGAGGTAAAAACTGCCTTTTATTATAATCACTAAATACAATTTTAAAAATAGTCTTTTAAATACAGAAATGCATTGTAATTGAACAGGGCTCTTTACCTCATCCCAGGCTCATTGCTATGGTTTAGAAGTCGAGGTGCTTGGCAGGCCACTCATGCGGTGATGGAATTGGGAAAGCATTATCTTTTAATCCTCTTGCTGGATGTCTGTGATCTTATTGGCAAGCCTCATTTGGCACTGAAGGAAAAAAGCTCTGGAATTTAAGACTCTTGGAATGAGAGCTGGGGACCCAAGATGGAGCACAGAGATGCAGTGGAATTCCCCTTTCACCTTCTCTGGAGTGCCCATGTGACGGTCTACACAGCCATGATCACTGAACCTGAATTGGGGATGGACATCTGCCTTCTTTCTTCCTCTCAACTCCCAAATTTAGTTTTTGCTAATTGCCCAGGGGGGCTAATCAAGGAGAAGGGGGACAGGGAATCTCAGATACCTGTGGGAGAGACAGTAATGTTAAAAAAGCAAATTCTGGTAGGAATACTGTGGACATGGCCTTTGAGCTCTTGGGACCCATGATGCTCCAGCTTTGGCCCTTAGTCCTGTCTAGCAAACCACCAACTGCATATAGATTCCTGCCTCACCTTTTATGGGTCCAGGCCCAGTCACCTGTAGGGTTTCTCTGAGACTCAAGGAGCTCTGCCCCAGGGTCCATCCTGCTGTTGGCTGCTAGCCTCTGAGAGCACCTGCAGTGGCTTTGGTATTATAGGCTAAGCACCCAGTTCTGATGCCTGGCTGTCATTGTTCCTGGACTAGGGGTTTGAAGCCTAATGGAATGTGGGAGCAAAACCAGATGCAATGATTTGGGGTGAGTTAGGGTAAAGAGACTTGTTGAGAGCCACAGCCCAGTCAGAATGATGCCTGGCATTTGCCAGAGGGAATGGTTGAAAGGTGACGCCAGCAAACCATTGAGATGATGATTTGAGTTAAGCTATATATAATTGCTGTGATGCTGGATTGATTGTATTGTATATTTGACCTTTACTGGCGGGCAATAAGGCGGCTCCTGCTGCCTCCGGTGCCTGCTACCTTGAAGTTCCCCTGAGTTCTCACAGGGGTTCAGAGAGATTGGACGGAGCCCAGGTGAGGGAGTGTGTTCCCGTGTGGTGTGTGCAGTGCCGGTGAGAGTTGGGGAATAAAGAGCTGCTGTTTGAATCTACAAGGCTTTGTGGCAGCTCAGTTATTTGTGCCCAGCCAGACTGCAGCAAAGGCTGCAAAACTCTGAGGGCTGGCAGGGTGGGGTGCCTGGCTGTAAGGTGGAGTAAGCCAGCTCAGGCTCTTTCTAGGAATTGCTGTGGCACCCCATGTGAGAGCAGGGGCAGTGCATCAACTTGGCTCACCAGTGCCACATCCCAGAGAAAGATTTAAGTTCCACAAGGACGCCAACGAGGGGTGCTGTGGATACTCCTCAGGACTAATGGTCTAGACAATGGAGCTAAGTATAGAAGTCCACCTGGCCAGCAGGCAGGAGGAGTCGAAGATGGGGAGGGCGTCCAGAAAAATGCCCAGTTCTTCCCTGACCATCCCTTAGTAGAGGCTAGGCTCTTGGGTTAACTTTTTTTCCCCCCACTGTGGTGCTGGGGATGGAACTAGTTAGGGCCTCAAGCACATTAGGCAAGTGGTCTCCCTCTGAGCTGCACTCCTGGGCTCCTGCACATCATTATCTCCTGAAGTACTTGGTGTCTTCCTCCAGATTTCCTTAGCAATGAGTCAATGGTGTCTTCCTGCTTCGTGGGTGGGTGGAGTGCTGGGCTCCATGGAGTGGCCTTTCCTGCACCACACCTCGTGTGCAAGGGCCTGCCCAAGGCCAGCCCAGCTACTTTGGATGACTGGTCATTATTAGAATGCCTGACTTGGTGAAACAATTCCACCAGTTGAGGGCTTTATTTGGTTTTCTTTTTCTTTAATCATTTTTGGCTCTGCTTTTCTTAAACAACATTTAATTCTGACCCCAGAGGTTAGTTCCTTCTCTTCCTTCAGACTTGGCATTTATTCACTTTTTTAGTTCTGTTCCCCTGGAAACCAGATAAAAGCAGAGTGTCAATTGTTTCAAGGCAATATTTTAATTTTTTTCCTTTCACTCAACTATTAATTTTTTGATTGGTATTTCATAGATATACATAAAGGTAGAATTCTCTGTGGTATTTTTACAGTTGCACATAGTATGATTTTGTCAAATTCATTCTACATTCCTTCCCCTCCTTTCCTGTCCCTCCTCCCTCCCTCTTGATCTCCTTCTTTTCCACTGGATCTTCTCCATCTTTATGATATCTGATTTTTCCCATTTTGCTTTAGTTTCTGCCTATCAGAGAAAACATCTGACTCTTTTCTGTGTCTGGCTTATTTCATTTAGCTTGAGGTTCTCTGTTTCCACCCATTTACCAGACATGCCATAATTTCATTCTTTATGGCTGAATCAAACTCCATTGTGTATATATACCATTTTAATCCATTCATTTATCAACAGGTCCCTGGGCTGGTTCCATAATTTGGCTATTATGAATTGTGCTGCTATAAACATTGATGTGGCTGCATCACTATAGTATGCCAATTTTAGTTCTTTTGGCTAAAGACCAGGGAATACAGCTGGGTCATATAGTGGTTCGATTCCTAGTTTTTTGAGGACTCTCCATACTACTTTCTAGAGTGGTTGTACTAATTTGCAGGTGTACCTTTTCCCTCATATCCTGGGGACCCTGGAAGCTATGCCTATCATATTGTTCAAAGAGATTTGAACATTTATTATCTGTATTCTTGATAATTGTTATTTTGACTGGAATGAGGTGAAATCTTAGTGTGGTTTTGATTTGCATTTCCCTGATTGCTAGAGTGAACATTTTTTCATATATTTGTTGGTCATCTGTTACTTTTCTTGAGAAATGTCTGTTTAGTTATTTTGTAGGCTCTCTTCACATGCATTTTCTTTGCTGTGCAGAAGTTTGAAAATTTGATGACATCCCACTTATTGTTGGTTTTATTGCTTACACATTAGGAGTCTGGTTAAGGAAATTGGTGCCTGTGCCAGTATGTTGGAGTATTGACCCTATGTTTTCTTCTAGCAGTTTCAGTGTTCCTAGTCTAATTTATTAAGTCTGACCCATTTTGATGTGACTTTTGTGCCAATAGGTAGGAATCTAGTTTCACTCTTCTGCATATGGATATCCAGTGTTCCCAGCACCATTTGTTGAAAAGGTTGTCTTTTTTCCAACATGTTTTTGGCACCTTTGTGGGTATGTGAATTTGTCTCTTGTCAATTCCACTGATTTTCTTGTCGACTTTGATGCCAATATCAATGCTGGTTTGGTTACTATAGCTCTGTGGTACAGGATCAGGCACTGGGATGTCTCCAGCATTCCTCTTCTTGCTCAGGATTGTTTGGCTACTCTGGGTCTTATTCTTACAAATGAATTTCAGGACTTTGTTTTTTCTAGTTCTGTAAAAAATGTCATTGGTATATAAAAAAAATTATTTTTAGTTGTAGACAGCCAGAAAACCTATATTTTTTGATTTTTATATGGTGCTGAGGATCGAACCCAGTGCCTCACACATGCTAGGCAAGCGCTCTACCACTGAACCACAACCCCAGCCCCGTCATTGACATTTTGATAGGGGTTGTACTGAATCTGTACAGTGCTTTGTGTAGTATGGCCACTTGGACAATATTTATTCTATCAAGGCACTATTTATTATGGTAAAAATGTCCCCTACCTGTAAATAAATTGGTCTCAGAATCCTAAACTATGGGCTTCTTGAGTGCAGTGCCTCAAAATGGCATGGCCCTCACAGGGACCCTGGAAACTATGCCTATCATATTGTTCAAAGAGATTTGGCAATCTTGGAGCATCATGCTTCTAAGCCAAGGTGAGTCCTGCCTTCTCCTTGATGTCCATCCCCTGTACCTAAGCCATCACCTGGGCAGCCAAGGAGAACAATTCTTGTTTATCCTGGTGACTGTAGCCTCTGCAAGGCCTGCCTTGCCCCACCTGCTGGCAGCTGTTTCCTGTCTGAGGGCTTCAGATTGCATCCAGCCTCCCCTATGGGAGTCTTGAAATTGAACTATTCCTTGGATGTAAGGTGAGGTATTGTACCCATTTTTAGCTGTGGAGTTTGGGCAATTACTTGAATTCTCTAAGCTGTCTTTGTGTTTATAAGATAGGGGAACATAGTTGTTATCCTAAAGGGCTGTGAAATTTAAATGAGATGATATACATAAAACTCAGCACAATAAGCACTTTCAAAATTGAACATCAGTAAAGTGCCTACTCTTGGTGATGAGCAAGTGAGGGTGTCCATTCAGCTCCATGAGGCCCGGCCTCACAGCATGTCTGGCCTGCTCAGATACAGGTGTTAGCTTCAATGTCTCGGTCTCTTGAGGCAGTAAGGATGTTCAGAAGTTTGTTCCTCAAGTTCAGTCGGGCCCTCTTTGGGAGCATCTTGACTGAACAGCACAGCCACCCAGGGCCTCATGCTCAGGAGTATAGAAAAGAGGGACTATTGTAGTTTGGCAGCCTTGACATTGGCTGCTTCAGTGACTGTGATTAGAACCTCATAGTGGCCAAGTGGAAAGGATATGACCAGTTATTCATGCTATCAAGAACATCAAGAACTGGTGAAGGCTGGTAGAGCCTGCAGAAGTCTCATCCAAACCACTCATAGCCTGATGGGCCTAAAGGAGGGAAATGACCCACCCAAGGGTCTATAGCAAGCAGGCAAGAATCTAAGCCTTACAGTCAGGTAAGCTGGCTTCAAACTCTTCTTTGGCCTTTCCTGCCTGTGGGACCTGAGCTTTTCCTTTGTTGTGAAGATTCAGTAAGATAACTATAATTCCTAAAGAGCAGTTTGTGTGGCACAGATTTACACAAGTGTTGTTACTGTTATGGTCAGTGTTAGTCAACTGTCACTCTGACAAAATCCCTGAGAAAAACAACTTAGAGGAGGAAAGATTTATTCAGCTCCTGTTTTCAGTCCCTAGTTGGCCAAGTCAATTGCTCCGGGCCTGAGGTGAGGCAGAACATCATGGCAGAAAGATGCGGTGGAGGAAAGCTGCTCAGCACATGACAGCCAAGAACAGAGCCAAAGACAAGATACAGTCCCCACGGGCCTGCCCCCAGGGATACACTCCCTCCAACTATACCTGCTACAGTTTCTGCTACATCTTAAATTCATACAGCTATGAATCCTTCAGTGGATTAATTCACTGATAAAGTTAGAGCCCTCATGATCCAGTCACATCCCCACCTCTGAACATTACAAGCCTTCACCACATGAGGCTTTGGGGGATGTTCCAGATCCAAACCATAACAGATTACACTGCACTGAGCAGTTGCTCCTTATATTTTCTCTCCAGCTCCTGAAAACCCTAAACTTTGTCATAAGCATGAGGGCGAGGATGAAGCCAGCTGAGGCTCTTCACAGTTGCTGGCTCTCATGCTACTTCTTACTCCCCCATATGGTGCAACTGCTAGGCTCCCCACTGTCCAGCTGCACCACAGCAAAGCCCTTTGAGGGCAGAGAATGGATTCACACAACTGTCCTGCTAGTCAGTTGCTGGGACCTTGGGGGCTTCTGGAAGCTAGCCTGTTGTGTAGGATTGCTGGGATTAGAAGAGCTCTTAGGGACTGTCTAGTCCAAGCTCCTCATTTTATGTATGTGAAAATCAAGATGGAGAGGAGAGTGATCTGCTCACTGAATGCAGAGTGACTTAACTGTTAACTGATTAAAAAGACACTGGCATCTGTATTGGTTTTTATTTATAAACAAATTGACATAAAATAAGTCCAGATGGCAGCAGGAGCAGCTGAACTGCTGACTTGCTTACAAGGAAGCACAGGACAGCGAGGAGGCAAACATTCCAGCCTAGAGACCCTCCCCCAACCACAGGGCCTTTTTGGCCTAAAATCATTAGGCCCAATTTTCTGCAGCAGTTCTGGTGAGGGTAAGGAACTGTGGTGGAGACCGTGTGGGAGAGCTCCCATCCCGCAGGAGGGCTGGGGCTACAAATGGCCCACTGGGGGCAGAGAGAGGCAGACAGTATGACCCTCTCCTCCCCATGGGAGCACGTGGGTCTGTCCATTCCAAAGAGAAGCACCCTAGGCAGTGTCCTCTGAAAAGAGGCTACACCCATTGGGAGCCTCTCTGGGACCAGGGCAGGGTAGTATCCCTACTCTCAAAACCCAGTGTCTGGTGCAAGAGAAGTATTACCCAGAGTGTCTGCCCAAGTCCAGAAACAATAAATTAGCAATAAGAAAAGATCTTTTTTAAAAAAGGTAAAGGTTTGCACCATGAGTTTGTGGAGTCTGGGATCTGGTGGGAAGGCAGGCACTGTGGGGCAGTGGGATGCCACACCAAACCCAGGAGGAGAGCGGCAGGGTAGGGGGGTCCAAGGGCTCTTCCTCTGCCACTTGGACAGTGCTCAGTCTAAATTCCTGGTGAGAGGATAGCTGGGCTTAAAAAATAAATAGAGGGGACCTCAGAGCCATGGCAGGGCTGAGGGGAAGAGCAGCGCCAGCCCCAGGCCCATACTTGCCCCTCCTTGGTCCTTCATGGAAGGACTCATCATGGCAAGAGGGGTGGGGGTAGCAGTGGTGGCTCCACATAGCCTCCTGGAGTCCTGGAGTGGCCTGGGCTCCAGTGAGGTGCCTAGGAGCAGGCTGGTAGCCTTCTTCCAAGGAGAAGAATGCCCCATCTGCCCGACCACTCCGTTGTCTAGGCTGTGCCTCCTGTTCAGAACTTGCCCTGCTTCAGCCGGTCAATGTGGAAGGAGAGCTTGAGTGCAGGCCCCAGCTTTAGACCCATGTACTTCATCATCATGTCACTGCGCAGCAGGAGCAGGGCCTTGCCATCGATCTCCTGGAGATGGGGGTAGTGGGGAGGTGCTATCAGAGGCCTAGTTGGTCTGACTGCCCCACGTTCTGATTAAAGGCCACCCATAGAAGTGCCAACTGCATGGAGTATGTCATGCTGCTGGGACACTGAAGCCTTCCTGTTCTCCCCCTTTGCCTCTGAGCATCCCTCTTCCCCAGGCATTGACTACCAAGCAGTCGCTTAGATCCTCACACAAGCTTGTACTGTGTTCCTGGGAGGTGGTTCCCCACCCTCCAAGCCTAAGACCCAGCTCAACTCCATCTCTTCCAGGAAACCTCCCAGTCTGTGTACCTGGCCTGTGTTTATATTGACCCTCAACTGCTATTCTGTGACTCATCAGCTCTCCTGAGCAGCAGAGACTTCTCTGCGTGAGCTGGGCCAAAGCAGAACTCACTGAACAGCTGCATGCCCTTCAGGCCTGTTCTAGTCACTGTGAAAACCTACCTGGTGTGAAAGACATAAAGGAGCAGTGACCTACTCTAAGTGCCCAAAGAAAGAAAAGTATCAAGCAGCACTGGCTGAGGAGATGCAGGCTTGAGACCCAAATCAGGAGTATGGTCAGAGCTGGGGGATCAGGGGCAATGCTGCCATGGAGCCAAAGGGTCACTTCAAGAGATGTTGAAGGCTCACAGAGGAGCAAGTAGGTGATGGGGGACTGATAAGGTGTGTGTGTGGGGTCACTTGCTAGGAATTCTTTAAAAACTTGGGCTGAGGCCCCTGATTCTCATGCAAAGGCAGGTGGGAAAACAAACTTCTGGGAGAAGGGACTGAGGTCCCTGTGCTTGAAGCTGAGCCCCAGTCCACAAACCCGGAAGGAATGTGGCCAAATCATCCTACACTCATTGAATAAAGTGGACATAATGCCCAGTGGTCTGAGACCCCAGATTCTGTTTCTATGTTTCTATGGCATCTCCTGCATTCTGTTTCAAAGGACCTGGAACAAATGGATAGCTAATGCCCTTTAAAAGTCTATAGGCTACAGTGGCAAAATTTCTAGTAAACATGGGAGAGGTCAGACAGAGGCACCTACATGTTTTCGAAAGAGGTCAGCATGGGGTCCAAGCTGAGGATCAGCTTCCCGGACAAACTGCATCACGTCCTCGACTGTCCATGAGGAGGGGTCCCGGCTACTCAGTCGAGAGGCTTCCCGGCTTTCCAGGTATCGGTCAGACCCTGCAGGAGAGGAAGGCGCCTACCATAGCGGGTGGGTATGTCCTCACCACTCCCTGGGCATACTCAGTGGCCTTGCAGGTGATGTGCTCGGCGGCAGTCGAGCATGAGCAGAGGGACTGAGGCAGCCTTGGGAGTCATGAGTTCTTCCACAGAAGGAAAGTCAAATTGACTTTAATAGAGGACCTTGGGGGCTGGGGATGTGGCTCAAGCGGTAGCGCGCTCGCCTGGCATGCGTGCGGCCCGGGTTCGATCCTCAGCACCACGTACAAACAAAGATGTTGTGTCAGCCGAGAACTAAAAAATAAATATTAAAAAATTCTCTCTCTCTCTCTCTCTCTCTCTCTCCCCCACTCTCTCTTTAAAAAAAAAAAAAAAAAAAAAAAAAAAATAGAGGACCTTGTATGGCACTAAAAACCACTGGCTCTTCTCAGTGACAGGTAGGTTTGAGCAGAGGAGTGATACACACCAGCTTAAAATCAAAAGGATCCTTTCAAGGTCCATGTGGATGACACATATTAGAAGGGAAGGAGTGAAACAAGAGAGCAGTTAAAAAAGAAACTATAAAAATCCAGGCAGGAGACAGCTGTGGTCTACACCACGGTGGTGGTGGAGAAAAGTGATCAGATAGGTGATCAGTATTCCAAATTATAAAGAACCTCACCATTGTCAGTTCAAGTCACCTTTAAAACAACCCTTGAAGGAGGTCCTCGCCATCTTTAGTTTAAAGAGAAGGGAACCCAGGTCCAGAGAGGTAAAGAAACTTGCCCAAGACCATACAGCTAGGAAGGAGATACTTTAGTGCCCTGGCTTTGTCTTCTACTCCCATTTCTGCAGACAGCTTATCTCAGGCCCCTGTTTCTCACCCTAATATGTACAACTGGTGGCTGCCCCCCAAGGAAGGCTGCTTGTCTCTGTGACTGACTGAGGCAGGTGAGGCACATCCATAAGAGACCAGACTAACAAACCCATAATTAATCTGGATTAATGAAAGAAGACAGGGGATAGACTCAACATCTAAATTCTTTGAAACAAATAATTCTAGGGCCAAATAGAATCCTCTAGTCTTACAAGGGTTTTCAGGGTCAAAGAGGTTTAGACCATGACCTGGCAGACAGACTCACAATGTGTTCCATAGGAAGAGTGGAGATCCTAGGAGGCCACAGTGCCATCTGAAGCCAGCGTCATGAGAGGAACCTATCTCAAAGCACCACCCAGAAACAGGCCTTGGGGAAGACAACAATCACAGAAAATCCCTACATACCTGGGGAATGATTTAGTTTCCAAAATGATTCCATACCCCTTCTTTCATTTGATCCTTTTAACACTCCTGTGGAAAGAACAGGTTGGTATCAGCAGCATATCTATTTCCCACATGAGGAATACTTTGCATATGGGAGACCTGAGAGGTGGGACAACTTACCCCAGTCACAAGGCAGAGGAGGTGAGGCTAAAATCAGCTCTCAGCTCAACCTCTACTTGAGGTCTCTTTCTATCCCATTTTGCCACCTGGCTGGGGTGGGGGTGGGGAGATACCACAGGCTTCTTCTCCTGACTCAGTCTTCATGAAAACTCTCTTTCTCCCGAGGTCACCTTTCATTGCTGATCTTGCTGATGGAGTCTATTTTTTTCATACCTCACATGTCCCTGGGCTGGGGGAGGCCAAGCTGGGGGTATGGAGGTGGCAATTTCCTGCTTCCCCAATCTAAGATCATCCACCTATGAAATGTTCTTCAGAGGCCAAAAATGGACCTAATCATCTGCTTTTCCTGGTCACAGTTATATAACAGATCTCTAAGTTACTACCCCTTGTTAAATGAAGCCTTTTGGTACTTGCTCACACTTTCTGTCCCACACCAATTCCTTCCATTATCCTTAGAAGTGATCCATTTAACTACCATGACTCCAGCGACTTTCACCTCCAGTCTACTTCAAATTCCTACTGCCAAGGCCACTGTCTGGTTCTTGCCATCACTTGGAACAAGTCTACTTCAGGATTTTATTTTTTGGTAGTAGGAATTGAACCTAGGGTCCTTAACTACTGAGCAACCCACTCAGATCTTTTTTTTTTAGACAGGGTCTTGCTAAGTTATTGAGGCTGGCCTTGAACTTGTGATCAGTCTCCAGAGGTACTGGGATTATAGGCATGTGCTACCACACCCAGCAACTTCAGAATTTTAAACATTCCATTTGCTGACACCAACCTCTCATCTTTGTAACTCTCTTGAGACTTACACGTTCAGTACAGGCATTGCATCACATTCTTCAGCATTGTCCACAACCAGTAGCTGATGACCTTACTCACTCTCCTAGCTCCACTGATTTCCTTACATACGCTCCATTCCTGCCCCATCTTGCCTTACTAGCTTAACTTAAAACCCTATTCTCAAACTGTCTTTTCTTATTCCATATCTAGATTACTAATAACCACAGAAGAAAACCACAGCTCTGTAAACTGGCAAACTATTTCTCCAAGCATAGTTGGGCCCCTGATGTTTCCTGTAAATCCTCCCTTACTTGATCCATTTCTCCTAGACTGGTCCAATCTTTCAGCACTCCTAAGCCCTCCCCTACTCAGCCCTCTCTCTGTCCACTGATGGACATGATCTTCCTTCTTACCCTAGAGAAGGTGTATTCCCCCACCCCCACCCAGCTTAAGCCTGTCTATGTCTTTGATTTTTCTTCCTTCCCACTACCTGCAAGGTTTTCTCCTCTTCCCTATATTCTTTTAACTTTTTGGAAAGCTCAAGTTGTCTACTGACAAACATGCTTGAGTATTCCAACTCTAAAAGAACTTCTTTTGAATTATAGGCCCTCTCACCACCATCTTTCTTTCTTCTTCTTTTTTTTAATATATCTAGTTGTCAATAAACTTTTACTTAGTTTATTATTTTATATGTGGTGCTGCGAATCAAACCCAGTAACTCACACATGCCAGGCAAGTGCTCTACCATTGAGCAATATTCCCCAGCCCCCCACAATCTTTCTTTATTCCTAAACTCCCCTTGATATGACCCCAACCTCTCCCACCACTGAAGTCACTCTTGCTAAGATAACTACTTACTGGCTCAACAGATACTTCTCAGTCCCTCTGTGACCACATATTCAGCTGTGCTCTCCTTAGAACACGGCTTGTATCCCTGGCCACCACACTATCAACTTCTTTTCCCCCTTACTCTCAATGTTCCTTTGCCTCCTTGGCAGGCTCCTCTTTCTGTTCCTACCTCCTGTACTTCATTGGTTCCCAGGACGCCATCATTGCTCAACTGTTCTTTTTATTCCACACATTTTTGTGGGAAGTCATTCACCTTATCCTTTTTACTATCTACATGTCGATGACTCCCAAACACTTCCCTTCAGCTCAGTACTTCTGACATTCAGACCTGGGCAGCTGCTGCCTGCTGGGTGTCCTCACTGACCCTCGAACTGGCTCCCTCTGTTCCTACTTTTCCATGGTTGGTTCTCTTTTGGTGAATGGCACTGCCTTCCCTCCAGCCACCACAGACAGACATCTAAACCTGGAAGACATTCTCCACTCCCTCCTTTCTCACAATCCTTAGCTCTGACAACATTTATCTCACGGATAACTTTCTTCTGTTTCTAAACCTCTATCACTAATTCAGGCTGTCATCATTCTGGTTGGCCCACTCTTGTAAATCTGGTAACTGGTCTTCTAGTGTGTCCCTCCTCAAGTCAATATACAATATAGAAGGCAGAATCCTGCTGGAAACACAAACTTGGTCTATGCCTTGTCTCTAATTAAAAGCCTCTGGTAGCTTCACATTGCCTGCAAGATAATGTTAAAACTCATTGGCATGGCATTTAAGGTCTCCAGTGATACATGCTCTGACCCTTCCAGGCTTTGCTCTGTGAAGCCCTGTTATCACATTTTATGTTTCAGCAATATAAAACTGCACACACTTCTGGGGCCACCCATATTATCTCCTATCCCTTTGTCCTTGCATATCTCCTCTTCCTGGAACCCTCTTACCCCTATCATGACTATTCACACAGTTTTAGACAAGGTACCACTTGCTCAAGGAAGCTTCCCTTAAATGCCAAGCTGGATTAGGTGTCTCTTCTTGCAGTTTTCATACTATTCAAAGCATATCTGTCACTGCATTCGATATTATTTTATAATTATCTTTTTAAGTGTTTGTCTCCCTTACAAGACAAAAAGTGATTTCTTTTTTATATACTCCCACCAAACATATGGAATGAGTCTTTCCTGTTTCTTTTGTCTCCCAGTCTTTGGCTTTTAGTTTCTACTATTCTCAAGTTAACCCCAGATTCCAATTGCTTTCCAGGTGCCTGATATCAAGCATAATAGTGGGTTTAGCCCCAGTCCCACCACCATACAGGGGGCAACAGAGCTAGGTTCCCTCTGGCTTCCCAGAGTTGAGGAGGAAGGAAAAGAGGAGAGAGGGAGGGAGACAGAAGGCCCCAAACTTTGGTCATCTTACCCCTGGAACATAGCCTGCGCACAGCTGAGGCAGTGCTCTGTGGGAGGCCGCAGGAGGGAAGCAAGGGCCGGTACCCAGAAGTTCGAAGATTCTGGGAGGTACTGACAAGGTTGGTAGGATTCAACGTAGAGTCCATTGAGTCTGTGTGTGGTGCCAAGGACCGGGCCAGACTATTCCCCAAGACAAAGGTTTCACCTGGAAAACAATACAACCAGGGGTAGAGCAGGGGTGAGCTTTCAGAGTGTTGGTTCTCAATACCAGCTGAGAGGAACAAGAGGCAACAAGACATAAATCCTTGGCTGGGACTCAGGAGACCTGTGTGTCAGTCATGGCCCCAACTCTCACCAGGTGTCCTTAACCAAACTCAGTGTCACTTTCTGGACTTTGGCTTGCTTAAAGACTCCTCTTCTTAGACTGGATAGTCTTTAAGATTTTTTTCTGCCTGGATGTCCTAAGATTTTATAGATAAAGAGAAAAAATTTATTTAAAAAATGGAGTCTCTCTAGCATGGAAGAAACTGCCTTAGTCACAAGGTGCTCTAGAGCAGGGATAGGGGTGCCACTAGCTATCACCAGAAGGGATACATTTGCTCAGAAGAGGGTCCTTTAGAAGCTGACCTCTGCTGAACCACCAGACATCTCAGAAATGATGCTTGATGCCCAGTTAAAGGCCTGTCTGTAAAGGATCATCTGCTCCTACTTTGTAACCTCTGTTTTTATTTACCCTGTTCAACAGAAACTTTCCAGGGAAGCTTGGGTTGTACACTGGGGAAAGCTTGGGCTTGGAGATGAGGATCAGGGTTAGAATTTGGCTCTGCCACTTAGCAGAGTGCTTCCCTGAAAACCTGTCTCCTCACCTATACCATGGGAAACCCATCTACATAAGGGGTAGCCTTACAAGGGGCTTGAGAATGTCAGAAACGAATGGCTATGAAAGCCATTGAAAGGGAATCTCACCCTGATGTTTCTACACCTGGCCCATGTCCCAGCATCAGGCAGTAGCATGCAATCACAGCACTCAGGAACCCAAAGCTGACACCCTCTTGTAACCAGCTTCTACCTAGGCCAAGTTAATTCTTCAGCTCTGTCCACTGCATCCTCTGTATGGGGAGGGGGTCTTGGGTACCAGACCATATCAGTGTTCTTCATGATTTTTAGAATCAAGTGTGTGGATAATGCTTGGGATTCATTCAGGGACTCTGATAAACACTAAATTTGTTTTCCGACACACAGTAAGACCTCACTGGCAAGATGATTTAAAATTTTAGGACAACTTCCTAATACCTAAAACTGGTCAGCGATCATGTGCTCAAAGTCAAATCTGGCATCAGATAGCTTATTCCTCTCCACAGGGAGGTTAATTGTGGATGCCCTTTCCTAGAAGGAGTTCTGAAAGAAGTTTCTGAGGCTCCAGGATCCCTACACCATGCCTACTTTTTTTCTGCAGATGAGGCTTCTGATTTTCCAGAAATCTGTAGCAGTTCCACTTTGAGACATGAACCAACCAAGAAGTGGGAGACCTGGGTTCTACACCTGGCTTCTGCCTTTCACTAGGTATGTTATCCTAGGCAAGTTGCTTTTGTTCTCTGAGCACCAGTTTCCTCATGTGTAAAATTGGGGAAAACCATTCTGTACTACAGAGAACATTAAATGAGAACATGGAATAGGTTGTGAGAAACTGTTACTTTGTTATTATTCATAGTTGGAGTAGCAAATCAAACTTTGAAAAAAAATTGTTTTGATCTAATTTCTGCAGTTCTCAGTAGAGTCACCTCACCCTTCCAGCCATTCAATAGAGTTACCTCACCCTTCCAGCCATTCCACCCTTCCAGGCCTGCTGCTGTCTGCCTCAGAGGCCAACAGCTGTGACACATAATCATGACAACAGTGCCAGTGCTCACCAGATGCTGATGCAGACAAGTGGGAATCTCTTTCTTTCAGCAGCACCAAGGATGCTGAGATCTGGATTGTGATTTGAGGGGTCTGAACATCTGGATGGTGGCATCTGGACTAGGCAAGATCATTAAATCTTGTCCTAATGAGATATACTAGAAAAATTAAGCATCATGCCAAAGCTCTGAGAGGCCCTAGACATTTTAAGGCTGATCTTATGGGTCCTGCTGCTTTTGGGTAGGACAAGGTCAGGGTAGAAGACCACAGTGATACTTTCCAATTGTGCTCACAGAATCTGTGGATCCTCCACAGGGAGGCTCTGGGCCTCATTCCAGTTTCTATTAATTTTTATACACTGGAGGTTAATGTAATCTTACCTTTGCAAAAAAAATTACTACTAAAACAAGTTTCACTGGTTCAGGTATCTGAGGTTAGGGCTGGAAGATGAGTTCTACTTCTAGAATGATCATTTGTCAATCATCAGTGCCTTTTTCTGAGATTCAGTTTGCCCATCTATAAGATGGAGATGAAAAATCTTTAGTCTTCTACGATCAATGTAAATTAAATTTATTGTTGCTATGCTGGAGACACGACAGCAATAATCATTCAACAAGTAGTGGAATGATGCTGCCACTCTATTGGGTACAGGGAAATAGGCGGGGAGGCCCTTACCCATGTACTCACTTTCAGGGAGAAGCAGCTTTTCTCAAAGTGACTTGAGAATTAAATGGTGGAGAGGAGCCTAGAGATCATGGCCATGGGGAAAGGGCATGGGGAGGCAAATGTTCTGGAGAAAAGTCATGGGAGACAAATACCCCAATGGCAGCCTGGGTAGGGAACAGGGCTACAGATAGCTTTTGTTCTTTTGGAATGCAGAAAGTAGAACAAGGGGCAGGAGTTAAAAGAAGGCAGATTTCAGTTCACAAAAGGAAGGCATTTTAGCTGGGTGTCGTGGCACACACCTGTAATCCCAGTGCCTTGGGAGGCTGAGGCAGTTCAAAGCCAGTCTCAGTAACTTAATGAGGCCCTAAGCAACTCAGTGATATCCTTTCTCAAAATAAAAAAGAAAAAGGGCTGGGGATACGGCTCAGTTGTTAAGTGCCCCTGGGGTTAGTTTTTGGTACAAAAAATAAATAAATTAGGTATTTTAGATTTTAGTCTGAAAATAAAATCAACTGCCAAAAAAAAAAAAAAAGAAAAAGAAAAAAAAAAAAAAAAAGGAGCAACCTGTCATTGGGAGTATTTAAGCAGAGGTCAGAAAAGCACTCAGTGACCTCTACGGCATTTTCTACTTCTGAGGTTCAAGGATTCCATGTTCACACCTACCTCTCCCTTGTAGAATGAACTGAGTAAGTATGGAACTACTGAGTAAGTATGGAACTAGAGCTATGGATCCAAGAAAATTCTCAGACCAGCACAGGACTTGGAGATACAAACACAATCCTCGTGCAAGCTGAAGGTGTTAAAGAACCATGTGGCCCACATCTTCTCCTGCCTATTCACCCATAAATCCTGTTAAATACCATGTGACAATTAAGGTGATGGACACTGAGAATGGTAAACACAAGATTGTTATTCAACTTATGAAACATTTAGTCTAGTGAGAAGGATGGAAAAAATGCAGGTAAGTTAAACTCTTATAAATATTACAAAGGAAAGGAATAGGGCATCCAGGCAGACAATAATAGGGGGGTCCTTTTAGATGAGGAGACCAAGTTTCTCCCTGACAAACTTGATGTTTAAGCTGGTCTGCAGAAGAGTACAGCCATCTGGGAACTGCACATGTGCCAGACAATGTGCTTCAATTAACCACAAACGGGTGATTCCTGAAAACTCTTGACAATTCCATGAGGAAACCTACATGGTGATGAGAGGCACCCTGAGAGACTTCATAGTTCTTACTTGGCTTTAATCTCAGTGAGTCTTGGGATTTGGGCAGAAGAACCACTTTATCACTAACTCTGGAGATCAGGATGGCAACTAGAAAGAAAGGTACAAGAAACTCATTGTCCTGGAACAAGTGAACCACCTCCTCTATCAGAGAGGAACATGGGAAATCTCAAAATAGCAGACCCACAGGTTAATTCTAGATGGACTTCAGTTATAGCTAAAAAATAGTTACTGCTAAAACAAACAGTTGGTGGGGCCCATCACTATCAATTTTTAGGGGACCTGAAGGAGCCCCTCTAACTTAGTCTCTATAAGACTTGTCCTTGATTCAGTAAATGTGGTCCTAAAGAAGGGACTCTGCTCTAACACTGACTTCCCCAGAAATCTTCTCCCCTCTCCTTTCAACCCAGTAATTGTTCATCACAACTGTCTATGTCAGAATACCTCGGGTCCATGCTCTTAATCACGTCCACATTCCACATCTCTCCCTTTCTCAGCTCTTTGAGCCCAGGGGTTGAGTCTGTTTCATCTCTATCTCCCTAGAGTCCAGTATAAAATCTAAGACAGAATGAGTATTTAATAAATGTTTGATGACTTAAACAGCTGGCCTGGTCCCTCAAAATGTCCATGTCATGTCATGGAAGATAAAGACAAAAGAACTACTCTAGTTAAAGGAAGCTAAGGAGACAGCACAATGAAATGCAGTGGATGATCCTTCATTGGATCTTGGATTGAAAATAAATAGCTATAAAGGACATCACTGGGACCACTGGGGAAAATTATGATATAGATTGCATATTAGCCAGAATTTTCTTATTTCTTGCATTTAAAAAAATATTTATTTTTTAGTTGTACACAGTACCTTTATTTTGTTTATTTTTATGTGGTGCTGAGGATGGAACCCAGGGCCTCGCATGTGCTAGGTAAGCGCTCTACCGCTGAGCCACAACCCCAGCCCCAAATTTCTTGCATTTTTTTATGTTAAATTCTTATTTTAAAGAGAAATAGACAAAGGTATTTAAAGGTAAACTTTCTCATCTGTAGTTAACTCTCAAATGATTCAGTAAATAAACACACAAACATACATATGCATACGTGTGTATATATATGTATATATACACACACAAACATATATAATATATATATACACACACACAGAGACAGAAGTTTGTATATACTCATACAGGAAGAGCAAAAATAAATATTGCAAACTTAAGTGATAGTACAATGAGAAACCATGAAGGGTGCATGGTTTCTCATTGTACTATTTTTACAAGTTTTCTATAGGTTTGAAAGTTTTCAAAATAAAATAATGAGAAAGTAATTGTCTCAATTTAGGAATTTAGGCAAAGAAACTGAATCCAAGATGAAGTCTACCTGAGCTTTTGGTGGCTGTCTGCCATGTTAGAAGTGTACAACCAGTTAGGCCAAGATCATAGTGGTAGGGTACTGTGGAGACAAGCTGGAAGGGAGAGAGCTCTAGTATGCACCCAGAAAACATAGGTGGTACCTACAGATGTCAAACTAGTAGAAATATGTAGTCAGGTACATGGGCAGGAGTGATAAATATCAAATCCAAAGGGCAAAGCAAAAGACAACTCTTGTACGATTGAGCTCAGTTATCAGAACAACACAAGAACCGATAAAGGACCAGGAACAGAGAAAAGGGTCACTAAAGCAGGCAAACAGGCAAGATAATTTATAAGGCACAGAGGAGTTAGGAATCCAGGCAAGGCTCTGACTTTTCTGAGCACAGTTAAAAGGCTCATTCAGGGAAGCAAATAGAAACCATGGTGGGAGCAGAAAATTTGATGAGCACCCACTATAAGGAAATTGAGCTTAGAAAGTAAACAAGGGCACAGAGTTGGCTCTTTATCTGTCTGAAAGTGGGAGAAGGGAAAGGAGGCAGAAAATGGGAAAAACGACACCCTATTCATTGTCTCTTTCTTAGCTGGTAGAGCAGGAAGAGTCTGGCTGAAGCTTGCTCCTCTTATCTGGTAGATGAATCAGAGAGAAGTAAACTGGAACAGAATTCCCAGGAAAGGTCATACTCCAGTCCCAAACCACATTCATGACTTCAGGCCCAGTCTCTGAATGCTGCTGCCAGTATACTTTTTCCAGTTCTTAATGATAGTATTCCACTTAAAAATTCCGAGATCCTATTTATTTCAGAAGCATTTTTCTCTTTAAATGAACAGCTACCCTTGTGGACAAGCTACCCACTCTTATGTATCCCTGCTTTTAGAATCAGGTAGACCCAGCTTTCATGACAGAAATGCAGCTCAGAATTCCTCAATAGCTGCAGATATTTAAAAACTTGCCTTTGTTTGTACCAACTCCACCATGTCTTGTGCAACATTCTAACCGCAGGTAAGAATACCTTTTCTGTTCTCAAAAAATCTAATGCTGAAAGGAAGCAATCTAGAGCAGGTTGGGTGAGAAGTTCATCCTGAAGAAAAGAACCAGACAGGAGGCACAGACACGGCTGCAGGGACCAGATGGTCTGACGCCCACAGGAATATTTACAATTCAGCTATCTTTTGTCCCACCTGCAAGTCATACAAGTAAGGCTCATTTGGGTGCAGAAGTATAGATGGGGCAGGGGAGAAAAGGACTGGGCAAATAAATGGTCACTTCCCTGAGACATTCTCCAGAAGTAGCATTTAAGTCAGAAGTGGTCCATTAAAACTATACTGAAGGAAAGAAGAGAGAAGAAGCCACAGGAACAAGCCTTGAGGGGCACCTTTCAGACCTGTGCTTTCTTTCCCAAGGGTAGACAGCACAACCCCATACTGACCACACCTCTTCTCAGCTCTTCCGCTTGGGACATGGTCCACAGATGTCTTTTAAAAGGCCTTTCTCCCTTTCAACAGTGACCTACCTTGCTATGTTAGGCTGAGCTTTCCTTCACCCACTCTGTTCTGCGTCCTGAACTCCAGATTAGAGATGTGAGTTCCATTCACTCTTCAACCTCTCTTGGAAGTGCTTAGTCACTGACCTAGCCACGTGGCATCCGCTTTCCCATTGTGAGTCTGGTATGTTAAACTAAAAAAGTTATTTTCCGGCCTAGTTGGAAATAGCAGGAACTTGAATTGACTTGCTAGACTGGCAGTGCTAAAAGAGTTAGGGCCATGTGCCAAAGGAAAGAATGATGGCCAATCACCAGGGAGCAAGTTTTTCAATCTCCAGCCTGAGACTAAACCTTCCTGCTGGTGAGAGAGAGCTGTGTTAGACCTTTGCTGCCAGCTTCACCCTGGGAAGTACGCTGTGATTTCACAGTGGTTCCACATGCTGTTTGGAGCTCAGAAGGGGGGATTTATAAGCCAGCTTTTCCTAGGGATAAGGGTCCAGAGGAAAGAAGAGTAATCAAGAACAGAAGACAAAATCCTAAAGCATAAAGATATCAAGAAATCAAAACCTCCCAGATGTGTTGCAGATGTGGACAGAAAGATGTCAGGCTAGCAGGTCTGAGAACTGGCCCTAGAAGGTGCTGTTGCCAGTCCTACCCCCCTCTCAGCCCAGGTCCCATCCCAACTCCTACCTGGTAGGTACCTGTCGTGGCTGTGGCTGTACTCTGTGGCAGTGAGTGATAAGTGAGTCTGTGTAAAGGGCTGGTTGCCAAACAGATTGTCACTATGAAGGTTGTGGCAGAGCTTCTCCAGGAAGCGGAGGACATAGGTGATGCTGTTGACTGCTGGGAGGTTGAGGGTGTGCTGTTCTCGGTCAAACACGGCTGTGGAGTTAAGTAAATAGAACCATGTACGTCAGCTGAGCAGCACAGTGTAGCATGGCACAGGGCAGGGGTTGTCCAGCCAGCTGCTGTCTTGGGCTTACCTGGTTACACAAAGGCAATCAGTGCTCAGGCTGCTCTCTCCCTCCCTTTCCCTCCCTCCCTGGAGGGCTTTGATTTTTGCCTTCAACTCCAAAGGGCATGCAATAATGGGAGTGGCCAGGCCAGGTCTGTTGCACCCTTAGGGCTCTGGAATGATTTCACTCAACCTGTGAAAACAACTGTGAACATAATTCTATCTGCTCCATCACTGGATTGAGCCTCTTCCAGGAAATCTGTTCATTTGGGGAGCTGTTTTCACAAGAATTGCCCAAGAACAGAAAAGCTGGGCAGAAGAGGAGAATATAGCCATCACTAGCAATGGCTTGGGCACACAATTTCCAATCTATATAAAAGCACTGAATTTTGGCAACATTTGAAACTGTTTCACGATTGGTTTTATTATACTTCCTATTTCTACTAAAAATATCAGCATAAAATTTGAAAAGCAAAAGGTCTGAGTATATGGCTCTGAAGGCAGTGAAGAAATGGAGACTTGGGGAAATAGGTCACTCTCAGGAACCAGCAGGGTTAGAGCAGCTAAAGAGGAGGTAAAGGTCAGTCCCTTCAGGTTACTGCACAGAAGCAAATGAGAGGCTTGAGAGTGGCCTAGCCTCAGAAGGGACATGGACTTAATTTCCCAACAGTTTCCAGCCTTCTAGAACATTTCCCTCTCTGTCTGTCCCCATCTTCCATGAAGCCAGTTACTCCCTAGCATGGGTTCCCACACTATTCTCTATTACAAAACTTGTCACAATTAGCTGTTTTGATTCTTTCTTTCCCCCTGTGCAGACCTGAGTCTCTTCTATTATTCCCCTTTCCTAGCTAGTATCTGACAATAACCTCTCACATATGGTCAGGGCTCCATAAATGTTTGCTAAAAGAATAGTTTGGTGATTTATGGGGTTTTCCATGTCAGCTGGGTTTCCTGAAGCTGGTTATGGTAACTCATTAGGGAGGAAGAACAGGGTATTATAGAATAGCATTATAGTTAAGACTGGAAGGCTTTAGGTCAAGGCTTCATAGGTTTGATGAGAAAGAATACTAAAAAGAACTCTACTATTATGTATAACTAAATACACTAATAACGACATTTAACGCCCCCCCCCCCCAAAAAAAAAACCAATAGAAAAAAACCAAGAGAATTTTGGACTTAGGAAAATTGAAACAGAAGCAGGGCACATGAGAAAAAGTAAATACTCTCAGTGAGAGCAAAAAACTACTGTTGAATCAAATTGTCAGTAGAAAAGAAAGTGAATGCCATTTCCCTCTCTGACTTGGGACACAGCTCCCTTGTATATGCCTGGTTTAGGAACCGGAAACAAAGAAGTCAGAAAAATGAGAGAAGGTCAGTAATTCCCTAAAACCAGTATGGAGACTATGGCACTCTGAAGAAACTCCTGTTGTCACAACCAAGCCCCTCACACTACTCCTTCTGAAATGCCTTTAAAGCCACATACTCATATATTTTCTTTATGGGAGAGTAAGCCAGGAGACAGGAGAGATACCAGAAACTCAGGCAGAGTTAGCTTGAGTATTCCTGGAGGAGGTATGTATAAGGCTCAGAGGAATGGGACACTTTCACACTTTTCTTTTCTTTTCTTTTTTTTTAGAGAGAGAGAGAGAGAGAGAGAGAGAGAGAATGAGAATATTTATTTATTTATTTTAGTTTTCGGCGGACACAACATCTTTGTATGTGGTGCTGAGGATCGAACCCGGGCCGCACGCATGCCAGGCGAGCGCGCTACTGCTTGAGCCACATCCCCAGCCCACTTTCACATTTTTCCAGAGCCTATGGGTATCAAGTAGAAACCAGGATGCCTTGTCAGAAATCAGTTAAGTAGGCCTGCACCCTGGCTATGAGTTCACATTAACCCAAGGGTGCTTACCTGAGATGACCTCACCACCGTGGCCCTGTTTGAGGAAGCTGAAGACAGTTTTCTGGTGATAAGCACAGTCGATGCATGCCTGGACAGCCTGCTGCAATACCACAGAGGCACGGGCTGGCCCAAAATGGTCAGGGAGCTGTTGGATCTTCTTCTTATCTAAGTGAGGGCCTGGGCTGCCATTCTTGTTCAAGTAGATACAAACTACAGGAGACAAAAAATCCAAGAGACTTATGGAGTGTCTGGCACAGAGAATTCAAAAGCACAGTGTTCTCTTCCACTTTTTTATTAATTATTTTTCTTAGTTGTAGATGGACAGAATGCCTTTATTTTATTTGTTTTATTTTTATGTGGTGCTGAGGATAGAACCCAGTGCTTCTCACATGCTAGGCAAGGGCTCTGCCACTGAGCTACAGTTCCAGCCCCACTCTTGCATTTATTATGCCCTGAGCTTTGATCCCCACTAGGAGTCTCAGCAGGTTTCCGTTTGAAACACTGCAAGGGATAAACGGTGGGGGTCAAGTTACCAGCAGACTAAATTGCATGACCAAGGGCTCTGAGAATACAGCCTTGCTGGAAGAATAGCCCAGAGCAAAAACCAAAGGACAGAATTTGTACTTTGTCTTCTGTGTTTTGAAAAACAAAACAAAACAAAAACAAAACAAAACAAAAAAACCTCAAAATTTCCCCAGATGTATGAACTTTCATTTTTTGTACTTGGTTGCCTCATAAATTCTTTACACCTCTCAACTTGTATCTATGTAAGGAGCTGTGGGACCATGGTAATAATGGCAAGAGAGTACTCATATATGTGTATATTTGGTATTGGACATAGAATCATCACACCACTGGTCGCTTGCCTTGTTTTCTATTCTGGGCCTTATAATTTTTTTACTATCTTCTACATCAATACTCAGACCCCAAAAGAGTAATACAAATAGAAAAGAATAAAATAAAATATAGAAAAATAATATGAAAAGGGTCTATAAGACTCATGTATATATTCTTTCTCTCAGAAGTTCTCCTGTCAAGATTGCTGGGCACTCTCTTGGTTGCTGACCTCCATGTGGCACTGGTGTGTGTGGGGGTTCGGGGCAAAGGAGATGGAAGCCATTCTAAATGCTGTTGTGTCCTTGGCCTCTGGGAAGGACCTACATCAGCTTGGTCAGTAATGACATTCTCTCTCCTGATGTCCTTTCAGGCTTCTACTGAGTAGTGGGTACTGTTCTTACTTGCACTGAGTGGGTAGGAGGGCAAAAATCTCCTTTGCTATTAAAGGCAAAAAGGGTCAGGGCACTAGTTATGTGGGCTGCTGGATAAACTGCCATCCTCTTTGGGTCTCAGGTTCATTGTCTATAAAGATGAGGGGGTTGAACTGATGCTCTCTGAGGAATCTCCACCTGTATAGCTCTAAAGAGAAGCAATATGAAGAGGAAAAAAAGAAAGGAAAATAGAAAGATGGTAAGCTGGATGAGGAAGGTAATAGGAGAAAAAGGAAAAAATCATAAATGAGATAAATTGAACATATACATTTCACTCTATTCTCTCCTAATTCTAAGAGGAGACAACAATAACATTTTGGAAGTTGGAAAGCAGATTGGAAAAGTAGCAACTAGAGCCAGGGGTGGTGGTTTGCCTGGGATTCCAGTAACCTGGGAGGCTGAGGTGTAGTATCACATGTCCAAGGGGTTTGAGAGCCACCTGGGCACATAGCAAGATATCTCAAAACAAACACACAAAAAAAGAAGAGAAGTAGTACTGAGTTGGTATATACAAGAAAGAAGAATTCCTTCAAGCAAGAATGGGGAATGATGAAAACCAAGCTGTTTTATCCCCTAATTACAAAGGCCTAAGTATTGGCAAAATGGTAACTCTGAAAGTGAATATAAAGTATATTTAATAAAAGAAGGCTCAGTTGAGGTATGTTAAGGAAAGTGAGGATTTCTATGTCTAATAATGTGATTCTTCTACTAAAACCACTTAAACACAAACACATATATAAGTATTAAAGTATTAAAAGTAAGTGTATTAAAAGTAAGTGACAACAAATGGTTCGAAAAGACACTTATAAGAATGCTCAAATTAACTCCAAATTAGAACCAAATACCTATCAACAGATATACAAATTGTGGTATAGTTATTTAATAGAATATCACCTGGAAATAAAAAAAAAGAACCACTGACAGGTGCAACAATATAGGTGCTACTCAGAAATATTATTTGGAATGAAAGAAACAAAATACAAAAGTACACGTAGCATGTTTCATTCATATTCAGTTCAAGAATGGGAAAACCAATCTATAGTGGTAAAAATCAGAATCTACATGGAGAAGAGACTGACTGGGAGGAGGCCTGAGGGGACTTCTGTGGTGGCAGAAACATCTTACATCTTGATCAGGGTTGTAGTTACAGGGGTGCTGACATTATTAAAATTCATCCAAGTGTACACTTAAGATTATACATTTCACGAATACAAACTTTATCTCAATTAAAACATACAAAGGAAAAAATATAACTAGCTTGGTGTTATAGATTAGATATGCAGTATCCTCAAAAAGCTCATGTGTGAGATAATACAAGTATATTCAGAGGCAAAATTATTAGGTTATGACAGCCTTAACATAATCAGTCAATCAGTCCACTGATATGGATTAACTAGGTGATTAGGTGGTAATTGTAGGGAGGTAGGCTGTGGCTGGAGGAGGTGGGCCACTGGGGGTGTGCTTTTGGTACTTATATTTTGTCCCTGGTGAGCAGAGCTCTCTCTGCTTCTTGTTGTCATGTCCTGAGCAGATTTCTTCTGCCATGCCTTTCCACCAGGATATTCTGCCTCATCCTGGCCATCTATGGACAGAGACCTCTGAAACTGTGAGCCCAAATAAACTTCCTCATCTAATTGTTCCTCTCAGATCTTTTGGTCACAGCAACAGAAAAGCTGACTAAAACAGAAATGGTACTGTGAAGTGGGGTCACTGCTGTGATTAACCTGTCCATGTGCTTCAGAAGCATCTGAAGCTGCAAATTGTTGCAGTTGGGGGAATTTTGAAAGTTTATGCAAGCTGAAAAGCTTTAGAACATTGTAAGTGGAGCTTAATGGGCTATTTTTATGGGTGTCCAGAACCAGAATGTTGCCAGGGCTGTGGACAGTAAAGACTGGGCTCATGAGGTTTCAGAGGAGGAGAACTCTATTGGAAATTGAACTAGAGGCCATTCATGTAATATTCTGGCAAAGAAGTTGTATACATTTTGCCCATGTCCTGAAACTTTTTGTGAAGCCAAATTAAAGGTCATGTACTAGTCCATCAGTGGAGGAAATTCCAAGGTATCCGAGCATTCAGATATTGCCAGTGGCTTTTAGCCAAGTTTACTGTGATAATCAGGAGTAGCAAGCAAAGATGAAAGATTTGAAAAACTTGCACTTTGGCCAGAAAAATACAAGTAAAACTAGGGCTAAGCAAATTGTGGTTGTTAAAGCAATTAAACCAAAAAAGCACTAAATAAATACTTCACCCAGAGACAATAGGAAAGATGGCTTGCAGGATTCTCGGGAATTGGCAAGACCACACCCATCTCAGGCTCAGGGGTAAAGTAAAAATTCCTTTGAGAAGAGACCATGGGGGCACTCTGCTTACACTGTGTGTCCTAGGAAGTTGTTTCACTGTGCTTAGCTGCCCAGGCATTCAGAGGCTGCTGCAGTCATAGTTCCCACAGGGCTGGCTACTGCTTAAAATAGTGGCAGACTTTGGCATTGATCATGTGGTGCTGGTTCTGCAGGAATGCAGGATACTAGGTTAGGAGATCATGGTGGCTTCCATCAAGATTTCAAAGGAAGGCCTGGGAGGCCAGACAAAGTGTAGCAGGGGGGCTGGGATTGTGGCTCAGCAGTAGAGTGCTCGCCTAGCACGGGTGGGACCCGGGTTTGATTCTCAGTGCCACATAAAATAAAATAAAATAAAATAAAATAAAATAAAGGCACTGTGTTGTGTCCATCTACAAAAAAGATTCTCTCTCTCTCTCTCAAAAAAAAAAAAAAAGTGTAGCAGGGTCAGAGTCCCTGTGATGGGCTGTAACCAGCAAGGCTATAGGGGCAGAGCTTCAAAGACTCTTTGGAGAGAACACCAGGATGCCATATATCCCAGATGCTGGAAATGGAGCTACAGGACTTGTTTGCCCAGTTGGATTTTGGTTTTGCTTTGGTCCCACCCCTTAGTTTTCCCTTGTGGAAAGGAAATGTTTATTCTATATCATGTTATATTAGATAAATGCAACTTGCTTTTGATCTTCACAAGGGAAAATATCCTTGAGTTTTGAGTCTCAGATGAGGTTTTGGACTTAGACTTTTGGATAATGCTGGAACTGTTAAGATTATTGGGGCTCTTGGAAATGGACTAAGTGTATTTTTCATCATGAGATGGATATGAGCTTTTTGGGGCCAGAGGCAGAATGTTATGGGATGAATATGTGACATCTCCCAAAAGCTCATGTGTGAGACAATACAAGAATTAGTGAATCCATTCACTAACATGGATTAACTAAGTGGTAACTATAGGGAAGTAGAGTGTAGATGGAAAAAGTAGGTCACTGGGGATATACCTTTGGGGTTTGTATTTTGTCCTCCGTGAGTGGAGCTCTCCATGCTTCCTGTTGTCATGTCCTGAGCTGCAGTCCTCTGCTATGCCCTTCTGCCATGCCCTTCTGCCATGATGTTCTGTCTCACTTTGCGCCCAAAGCTATGTAATCAGTCATTTATGGACAGAGACCTCTGAAACTGTATGCCAAACTAAACTTTTCCTCCTTTTAATTGTTCCTGTCAGGTCTTTTGGTCATAGTAACAAAAAAGCTGACTAAACACCTGGTGATGATTTAAAAAATATTTTTCTATATGGATTAAATGGTGAAATATAAAAGGTAAAACCATACAAACTTTAGAAGTAGTTTTAAAACTTAAACCCCAAATTCTTTGACATTCTTCCTATTGATCTCTTTCACATTGACCAATAGACTATAGTGGAAATGACACTGTGCCAATTTCTGGGCCCAAGCAAAGTATCCTGTAGAGAAAAACCAATAATTGAAACCAATGTGTCACCATGTGAAGAAAGTGTGTCCTTCTGTCCCATCAAGCCATTCCAGCTGACACTGTATACAACAGAGAAAAGCTTCCCCACCCATCTCTTCTCTTACTGCTGTTTTAAGCCATGATGTTTTATGGTGGTTTGTTAAAGAACAAATTATTATCAGAACAGACTGATACAAGATACAAGATACTGCAGTAACAAAGGCCTAACACATGGCAATGGCTTTGAAACAGCCAAAAAAAAAAAAAAAAAAAATGCACAGAGTGCTACAAAGAGAATATTAGTGAAAACTGGAAGAGCATTTAATACAAACCTAAAAGTTCTCTAGGAGCCTTTCAGTGACAGTTAAAAGGACAGTGAGGAAAATTTTATTGGAAGATGGAGGACAGGGGATGTTTGCTAGGAAGGGACTGCAAATTTGACAAGATTGTTGCCTACCATGAAATAGAAAAATAGAAAATGTTCCTGATGAGCTCAAAGAAATAGCTAGAATTTCCAAACTAAGTAATGAAAGTGCCATGATACTTCTCATTGCTTATGATAAAATGTAAGATGAAAGATGAGCTTAAAAATTTTAAACATACACACAAACCCAGGACTTTCATAGTTTACAAACATAATTTTTCTCATTTCCAGACTCTCCAGAGGGCAAACAACTTTACTTTAGCCCGTAAGAAAGGGCCAAAGATAAACTCCACAATGACAGAAAAAAATTCTTAATTAAGGTGTCAGAAATATATAAGGGTATGCTTCATAGACGTTGAGACCAAAAGGCTCTAAGAATATTAAGGTCAAGACTTGCAGATTCTTTCTCTTAAATGGGATTTTTCGGAATCTTAAGGGTAGTTTCATAGCTGCAGCTGCACAGAAGGACCAAAGCAGAAAAGGATGTCTTTGGACATCTGTGGTTGTGGCTTTTGTTTCATAAAATGAACCTGGACAGCAGTCAAAAAAAAAGCCCTTCAAATTTTTAAGAGAACCCATCTAGCAGAAGTACTGCCAGCATGGCCAGAAGGTTGAGAGATGGTACAAAACAGAAACGATCCCTTGGGCCTCTAGCATTTTATAGGCAAGAAGGTTAAGAAGTCCATCTCATTTTGCTCTTGGAAATGGAAGGATGATCCAGAGGACAAAACAAAGAGCAAGGGAAAACAACTTCCAAGAGGTAATACTGAATCTGATTAGGGATGGTAACATGTGCCCAGTTGTATTTCAGAATTTCTACAGACCAGTGTCTTTATTTTCCATCCCTTTAGAATGAGGGGAAGTTATCTTATATTTGTTCCCTCCACTGTGTGTTGAACATGTGATAACAGCAGATAATCTGTTTTTTTGTTTTTTTTTTAGTACACAGGTATTCAATGGAGAGGAATTGCACTCAAGGAGATGCACCTGAGAAACTTCACTCAAGTGGCCTTGTGTACACCCACACCCGATTTAGATGATGCAATCTTGGATCTTGAGCCTGATACTGTAAAGGGAAGAGGCTTTTGATGAGAAATCTTGTGAGTAAAAGAATTAATTTTTAAAGTAAGAAAAGTATAGGTAATTTATGTTCAAAGAGTTGAATGATATTGTTTAAAATATGATCCATTATTCTTTGATCCTACACCCACTGAGAGGGGGGGTCCATTCCCCTCCTCTTGAATCTGGGATGTGTGACTGACTAATCTTTTAAAAAATTTAAAAGACTAGAAATCATACAATGTCCTATCTCAGGACATAATAGAATTAAACTAGAAAGCAATAACAGATGATATGTGGAAAATCCTCAATAGAATTAGTCTGGAGGTATAGCTCAGTGGTATAGCATTTGCCTAGCAGGGCCCTAGGTTTGATTCCCAGCACTGCAAAAACAAATGAACAGATATAAATAAATAAGTAAAATGAAAGGGAAGGTAAAGCATAAGTGGAAGAATAAATAAAGATAAAATAATGTTTATTCTTCATTGATCTAATAGATAAAAGTTTGTCTCAAATAATAATACAATGATATCCTTGATTATGTGTGTGTGTGTGTGTGTATGCACATGCTTATGTACAATGAAATGATTAATAGAAACAGTTCAAGGTATGAAAGTGAGAAATTAGGATTATAAAATAAATACTCACTCATAACACCTATGAAGCAATATAGTGTTATTTGAAAGTGGACTTGGATTAGTTGTAAATATATATTGCAAACTGTAGGGTAATCACTAAAATAAGTAAAAAAGAAATATAACTATCATGCCAAGAAATAAGGGAAACTAAAAAGGAACTTTACTCAAGGAGGTGCAGAAAAAGACAAAAATAATAACAAAAAGAAGGGCAACAAATAGAAAACAGAAACACGTGTTGGGTATTAGAACAATTATATCAATGATCACTTTAAATATCAATGGACTAAATACACCAATTAAAAGAGATAGATTCTCAACTGGATAAAAAAAGATCCACGTTATTTGTATATCAGAAAATTTATAATAATATAAATTAAAAATAAATGAGTGGAGAAATCTAATACCATACTAAAACTTATCAAAAGTAGAAGTAGCTATATTCCTTTCAGAAAGAACAAATTTCAGAGGAAGAAAAATTATCAGGGAAAGAGGAGCATGACATAATGATAAAGAGATTAATTCTCTAAGAAGTATTGATCCTTAATGTGTACGCATCCAACAACAGAATGTCAAAATATGTGAGGCAAAACCTGTTAGGACTTCAAGGAGAAATAGATGAATCCACTGTTACAGTTGGAGACTTCAATACTCCTCTATCAGATGTAGAAACATCCAGCACATAACTGAACTCAAAGGTAGCATCAATCAACTACTTCATTCAACAAGAGCAGAATATATATTCTTCTCATTTGGAACTTCATCAAGACAGACCATATTTTAGGCCATAAAACATACTTAAAAAATTTAAAAGACTAGAAATCTTACAATATCCTCTCTCAGGACATAATAGAATTAAACTAGAAAGCAATAAGAGACGATATGTGGAAAATCCTCAAACACATGAAGATTAAATAACACAGTTCTAAAGACAAGGGTCAAAGAAATATCATAAAAAACTAAAAAATAATTTGAATTAAATAAAAATGAGAATATAACATCAATATTTGTGAGATAAAATAGAAGCAGTGCTTCAAGGGAAATGTATAGCAATGAATACATATTTAGAAAAAAAATCTGAAAATCAGTAACACAAGCTTCCACTTTAGGAAACTAGAAAAAGAAGAGTAAATTAAATCCAAAGTAGGCAGAAGAAGATAAGAAATAATAAAAATTAGAGCAGAAATCAATGAAGTTGAAAAAGAAAATCAGAAAAAAAAGTGAACCCAAAAGTTGCCTGTTTGAAAAGATAGATAAATTGATAAGATTCTAGCCATAGTAAGAGAAAAAGAGAGATTACACAAATTACTAATATTAGAAGTGACTGGGGTGGCAGGGGAGACATCTCTACAGATAACATGGTCATTAAAAAGTAATAAAGGAAAACCATGCACAAAACTCTATGCTCAAAAATTTGATAATCTAGATGAATGGATCAATTCCTTGAAAGGCAAAACTCAATCAAAAATAAAACTACAAAGCTGGGTGTAATAATATGTGCCTGTAGTCTTAGTTTGAGCCCAGGAATTCAGGACCAGCCTGAGTAATGTATTGAGACACTGCCTCTTATAAATACATAAATAAATAAATAAGGATAAAGGAGAAAGAGGAGGAGAAAAATACAATCTAAACAAGCATATGTTTATTAAATAAGCAATCATATATCTGAATCAATAATTCACAATATCCCCAAATAGAAAGTGCCAGGCCCAGGTAGGTTTACTTATGAATTCTACGAAACATTTAAGGAAGAAATTATACCAATTAGCCACAATCTCTTTAGAAGATAAAAGCAGAGTGAATACTTTCTAACTCATTCTATGAGGTCAGTGTTACTTTAATATCAAAATCAGACATAACAAAATTATAGACCAGTACCTCTTATGAACATGGAATGAAAATCCTCAACAAAATATTAGCAAGTTTAATTCAATGTTGCATAAAAAGAATTATACATCATGACCAAGTGGGATTGATCCAGATATGCAAGGTTTATTCATTTTTCAAAAGTTAGTGTGATCGATTCTATCAATAGACTAAATAAGAAAAAATCACATGACCATATAAATGATCAAGCTTTTGAGAATATCCAATACTCAGTCACAGTAAAAAATTCCCAAATAACTAGGAATACAGGGGAACTTCTTCACCTTGATAGATAACATACATTAAAAAAACCCATAGAGTTAATACCATATATAATGGTGAGAAATTGGAAGCTTTCCCACTAAGATCAGGATCAAGGCAAGGATGTCCCTCCTCTCTCATCACTCCTTTTCCACACCACACTGGAAGTCCTAGCTAATACAGTAAGACAAGAAAAGGAAATAAAGGTATACATATTGGGAAGGAAAAAAAACCTTTTTGCTGGTATATGATTGCTTGTGAAGAGAATATGGAAGAATTGCCAAATACCTTTTGTAACTAATAACAATTACAACAAGGTCACATAATATAAGATCAATATACAAAAGGTCAATTACTCTCCTTTGAACCAGCAACCAACAAGTAGATAATATTAAGCCAGGCACAGTGGCAAATGCCTATAATCTTGGGGACTCAGGAGGCTGAGGCAGGAGGATACAAGTTCAAGTAGCTTCAGCAACTTAGTAGGACCTGATCTCAAAATTTAAAAAAAAGGGTTGGGAATGTTGCTCAGTGGTAAAGAACTACTGGGTTCAATACCCAGAACCATAGTCAATCAACAATCAATTTAACAAAACCCAATACCATTTATAATGGTGTCAGAAGCAGGAAGAAGATAAAAGAAGAAGGAAGAGGGGATGAAGAAAGAAAATGAAAAGAAGGAGAAGAAGAAGGAGAGCAAAATAATTAGATATAAATTTAACAAAATATATACAAGATTTCTATGAGGAAAACTATAAAACTGATAAAAGAAATCAAAGAACTAAATAAATGGAGAGCTATTTCTTGTTCATAGACAGGGAACTTGATTTAGAGATTCAACACAACCCCCAATAAAAATCCCAGGAAGTTATTTTGTGGATGTCAACACACTGGACCTAAGCTTTAAATGGAGAGACAAAAATAGAAAAAAAAAAAAAGACCCAGAATAACCAATATGGTATTGAGGGAGAAGAATAAAGTTGGGGGACTGATACTTCCTGACCCAACACTTATTATAAAGCTATCATTACCAAGATAAGATGATACTGCCAAAAGTACAGACAGAAAGCTCAGTGAAACAGAATAAAGAGCCCAGAAATAAACACATGCCCAGATATAGACAACTTATCTTTCAGAAAGGAGTGAAGGCAATCTAAATCTAAATGATTTAGATATAAGGTGTCCCCCAAAAGCTCACGTGTGAGATAATGCAAGAAGGTTCAGAGAAGATATGATTGGGTTATAAAAGCCTTACCCCAATCAGTGAAATTACTCACTTGATGGGATTAACTGAGTGGTGGCTGAAGGCAGATGGGGTGTGGTTGGAGGAGGTGGGGCTTGGAGGCGTGGGTATATATTTGTGTTTTGCAAGTAGAGCGCTCTCTCTCTCTCTCTCTCTCTCTCTCTCTCTCTTTGCTTTCTGATAATCATGTGAGCCTCTTCCCTCTGCCACTCTCTTCTATCATGATGTTTAGCCTCACCTTGAGCCCCGAGGAATGGTGCCTGCTGTCTATGGATTGAGACCTTTGAATCTGTGAGCCCCCCCAAAAGCTTTTCATCCTCTTCAGTTGTTCTGGTTGGGTCTTTAAGTCACAGCAGTGAAAAAGCTGCCTAAAACAGTAGTTTTTTTCAACAAATGGTGCTGGAGCACCCAGACATCGACATGCCAAAAGAAAAACAAACAAGCAACCCTCTCTCTGAAAAACATAGCTAGACAAAACCTTATCTTAAAAATATCAACTTAAAATGGATAATAGACTTAAATATAAAATGCAAAATTTCAAAATTCCTAGATGATTAGATACACCACCCAAAGCATGATCTTCAGAAGAATAATTAATAAGATGGATTTCATGAAAAACTCTACAAGAAAGGCACTATCAAGAGAAGAAGAAGAAAATCTCTTTCATCCTGGAATAAAATATTTTTCAAAGACATATGATAAAGAATCATCCAAAATATACAAAGAACTCTCAAAACTCAAAAACAAATTAAGAATTGTTTTCTAATTGTTAAAATGATTGCAAAGTGAACTAAAGACATTAACAGATACCTCATCAAAGAAGATATACAGATGGCAGATAATTCAACATCATGTCATTAGGGAAATTCAAATTAAAACAACTGTGAGATCTCACCACATACTTATTAAAATGGCCAAAGTACAGAACATAAACAATACCAAATGCTGATGAGAATGGTGAGCAATAGAAACTATCATTCATTGCTGGAGGGAAGGTGAAATTTACAGCTACAATGGAAGACTGTTTGATAATTTCTTACAAAACTAAACATATTATTACTAATTCAGTAGTTGCTGTCCTTGGCATTTACCCAAAAGAATTGAAAGCTTATGTGTACACACAGTCATGGCACATGGATATTTATAGCAGCTTTATTCATAACTGCCAAAACTTATAAGCAACCAAGATGTCTTTCAGTGGGTGAATGGACATATAAATTGTGGTACATCCAGACAATATAATATTATTCAATGTTAAAAAAAATGAGCAATCAAGTCCATGAAAAGACTTGAAAGAAATTCAAATGCATATTACTAAGCAAAAAGAAATAAATCTGAAAAGGCTACATATGGTATAATTCCAACTATATAATATTCTAGAAAAGGCAAAACTGTGGAGACAGAAAAGATATCACTGGTTGTCAGGATTAGGGAAGAGAAATGGATGAGTAGGAAGAACACAAAGATTTTTAAGGAGTGAAATTTTAAAAGAGTGAAACTCTTTTGTATAATACTGTAAATAGTTGATACATGTCATTATATATTTCTCAAAATGCCTAGAATGTAAAACATCAAGAGAGAACCCTAATGTGAACCATGGACTTTGGGTGACAATAATGTGTCAGGCAAGTGAATCAATTATAACAAATGAAGCACTCCAGTAGGGGTTGCTGAATATAAAGGAGGTGCTACATGTGTGGGGACAGGGGAATATAAGAAATTTATGTACCTTTCATTCAGTTTTGCTGTGAACTTAAAAGTGCCCTAAAAAATAAAGTCTATTAAAAAAATTCAGAGAACAAAAAAGAGCTCTTGACAGCAGATACAGATTTCCAAATGTGAAGAAGTAGAGTAAAAGCATTTCTTAAATGTGTATGACTAAGGGGCTGGGGATGTGGCTCAAGCGGTAGCGCGTTCGCCTGACATGCATGCGGCCCGGGTTCGATCCTCAGCACCACATACAAACAAAGATGTTGTGTCCGCTGAAAACTAAAAAAAAAATAAATATTAAAAAAAATGTATATGACTAAATTCCCTAAACGTATGTAAATTCCTTTAATGCAGAGTATTTTGCAGGACTGGTATTCCCACCAAACACATTTTGGAAAATGTCACTGGAGTGCTAAATAATTATAATTTAGAAAGTAAGATGGCCGAAATGAGAAACTCAGTACAAAGCTTGGAAAATATAGTTGAGGAAGGCTTGTAGAATTGTGAATGAAAAGACAAATAGAATAGGGATAACAATGAAGAGGGAGTGGGCTGTGGTTGTAGCTCAGAGGTAGAGTACTTGCCTAGCACGAGTGAGGCACTGGGTTCAATTCCCAGCACCATATAAAACTCAATAAATAAAAATAAAGGTATTGTGTCCATCTACAACTAAAAGCAATCAAAAAAAAAAAAAGAATTAAGAGGGGTGTGAATATTAGAGGACCAGTTTAAGTGGTCCAACATCTGAACACCAGGTACGCTAGAATGTGTAAATAAAGAATTTAAGAAAATTTTACCAAATGTGTGTGTAGGATGGTAGGTGAAAATGCCTCTAAGGTGAAATCTCAGAATCCTGGGGTGGAGTAGAGGGAAAGGGAAAGATGAGAGGCTGCAGAGAGAATACAGTTTCATACAAAACTAAAAGTATGAATCTAAGATAAAAATTGATAAAAATAAAAAAATTAGGGGCTGGGTAATAGCTCAGTTGGTAGAGTGCTTTGCTTCACATGTACAAGGCCATGGGTTCAATCCCTAGCACCCCCTACCCACTGCCCCCCCCAAAAACCCCACAAACACCACTTATGAATAAAGAAAAATGAATTCTCAAAAATTAGCAAATTAAATCTATGAATGTATAAACAGAATTATACACTAACACCACCAAGTGGGAATAATTATAACTTCCAAAGAATGGTACAACATTGAAAAATCAATTAATGTAGTCCATCACCTTCACAAGTTCAATAAGAAAAATTCTAAGATCAAATCAATAGGTGCAGAGAAAACATAAAACGAAAAATAAACAAATTTTTATAAGTGTTGTACAGTTAAGTGTCACAAACCGTCCATGGGCCGTGTGTGGACTATATTGTGCATAGTAGCCTAATGAGGGCGTAAGTCTGGCATTGGGAACCTCCTGTGGCACTCTTACAGGGACTGATCGCCTGATGCAGGTGAACTTCCCCCTCAAGCTCTGCCAGAGATCCCACACAGCACCTGAGATGGGTGTGACCTGCCAAGATGTCAATCAACCTGCTGACTTCAAGATACCAGGAAGCAAGACTCCGCCCTTGAAACCTTATCCCTGCCTTTGATGTCCCCTGATATAAATAAAGCAAGCTTGGGCTCCATTTTGCCAGAGTGTAGAAGCTTGGTCTGTATGATCTGCTAGCCCGTCCTGTCCCTGCTTTCTGAAAATATTTTCAGTGTCCTGTGGTTTTTTCATTGTTCTATTTTTCTTAGCTTTTATTTCTTAGCCAGCCCATTCCACCGAGGAGAACTCCATTTAAGAAGAATGAAAGGAAGGTATTAAAGGATATACTGTGGTACACAACATTAAATCTATGATAGCTTTTATGTTATCATTAAGGGACAATAAAAGTAGCCTCAGCTAATCCTAAGCATAGATGTATGAATTGGGGCTCACACAGAGTGAGCCAAGGTCCAATCGAGAGATTGTGACACAGTGATCAGAAATGGTTGTTATAGCCTGACATGAACAGGACACAGACACACATGGTAAATTCTCATGAAAGAAATTTAAATGCATATTTAAATTTCCCTGGGCCACGAGTTTTAGGCCAAGGGAGGGATGCTAACCCAGTGAGTGCAAGAGATGGTATGCATTATAGTCATGAAGCTCTTGCTGTTGTGGGTCTTCTAGATACTACTGAAAAGGCACTTTGACACCCACTTGGAATCTAAAACAAGGCGGGCTAAACCAAGCAAGTATACAGGTATCTAGGGGGCATGTCAGGAGGTTGGAAAATATAATCAATATTATTACCAATGTCCTTATTTGTCCTTACTTCATCATACATGGAGTTTAGGGACTAAGAAAACCCAGTAACTGGCTGGATCTAGATGCAGATGACATTTAGAGAAATCATGTGATAAGGCACTGAACACAGGTGAACATACATGCTACTAGCAGGCTCTGTCAGATTCTACAGGTTATTTGGAGAGGAAATTGTGGGTGGCCCTTCTCTTTAAGCTCTTAAATTTTAGGATTTTGGAAACTCAACTCTTTCTAAGAGAAAGACCACTCTAACTTCCACAGCTTCCATGGGGATCTCTCTAATTACTTAAATATCTCTAAAGAAGATAAAGTATTTGTAGAGCAAGATTACACACACACACACACACACACACACACACACACAACACACCCCTTCTAATTTGCACATAAAAATGAGTTCTATTCTTTATAGCTAATTCACTGGGAAACTGTGAATCTATTTTAAAGGTATAGTTCTTTTAGAGTTCCCTCCATAGATAGTTTATAAAATGGGAGCAGATATGCATAACTCCTAGTTTATAAAATGGGAACAGATATATATAAGCAAGTTACCCATCCTCTTCAGCCATCAGATTTTGTTTTGAAAGAAACATGCATTGGCTGGCCTCCCAAATCAAGTTCACTCACATTATACTACAGTTGACCATCATCAAGATTGTTTTAAAAAATCAGAAAAATTTCATACAAATTTGAGTGGTTGCGGCATTACTAGAATGTTAGGAGGATTCTGGAAGATGAAAGGGATCACTACAAAGTGGAAGCTCCCAGATCTGCAGGTTAGTATTATTCTAAACTAGGTCAGGGACCTCTAGGTACTTCCCACAATCTCCCCTAATTGGCCCAAGTTCTCCAACCTTAAGTTCACAGAACACTCACCTAAGATTCTTTGATAATTCGGACAGAATGAAGTTTCTCTGAAACTATTCCCAATGCCAAATTTAAAACGCTTAAAAAAGATTCTACCTAGGTTTAGAAAAGAGAGGGGGCTAGCTATTGGTGGAAGATAAGAGGAAGTGTAGATGCTGGGGCCAAAGGCTTGTTAAAGCTAGTCCCGTCCTCTGTTCTTACCTGTGGGGGCCTGCATGGCTGAGCTGGGGATGGTGGCAGCATCTTGGGGAACAGTGCTGGTATCCGGTTCAGGGGTGCTGGTTGTTGGTGAGGTGGGTGGTGGGCTCAGCAAAGTCCGAGGTTTCCTCTGTCAAAATGGATGGGGAAAAGTTTGCTACCCATGATAGGTAACTTGTCTTCTCTTCCTCCACTCCTGGCACTTAATTCACCCATAATACAAAAATATATTTGTAGCTGGAACTTCATTTTCTTTGTTTTCCATTCAGCATCTAGCCCAAAGCTGTACATATAATAGATATGCTTAGTAAACATTTTCTGTATCTATGCATAAGATTTTGTGTTCTGCAGAGCTAGATTTTTTTTTTTTTTTTTTTTTTTGGTACTGAGGATTGAACTCAGGGGCACCTGACCACAGATCCACATCCCCAGCCCTATTTTGTATTTTTATTTAGAGACAGGGTCTCACTGAGTTGCTTAGCACCTCACTTTTGCTGAGGCTGGCTTTGAGCTTGTGATCCTCCTGCCTCAGCTTCCTAAGCCGCTGGGATTACAGGCATGTGCCACTATGCCTAGCTGCAGAGCTAGATTTTAATGCTTGTTTATACTAGCTTCAATACTATCATATGAAATCCCAGATTCTTTAGAAATTGGGCAGCTAAAAGCAAAAAGAAAAAAGCATACTATGGCTTAAATCTCTACTGACATTATTTGTTACTTTCTGTTTTTAAAAATAAAAATGACACTTCTAACTCTACAAACTACTATTCTGTCCTACCTCTTCCCTCACACATCCTATTCTAGCAATTCCTAATCATAACACTTCTCTAAAAACCCTGAAGGTGTACCTAGCCCACACCTTCAATATTTAGTTGTCTCTTCTTCCTGAAGTAGCCTTTATTCTTTTATTTACCTTACAAATTTCGGTTCATCTAGGAAGTTTTCCTCTAACTACTACTTTTTTTATTTTCTGTACTTTGCATTGTTGCAATTGTCAATGTATTGACATTTACATAAATAACACTGTCACTGTCATTATATGTTTGCATACTGCCTCCTTGAGCTGCTTGAGGGTCTGATTCTGAGTATCATTTCTAGCATGGTGCTTGACATATATAACACATGTTTTTTTTTTTTTAATTTTTAAAATTAAAAAAAAATTCTATTTGTTCTTTTTAGTTAAATATGACAGTAGAATCTACTATGATAATTTATAAATCATGGAATACATCTTATCCTAATTAGGACCCCAGTTTTGTGGATGTACATAATGTTGAGATTCACTGTGGGATATTCATATGTGTACACAGGAAAGTTATGTCAGATCCCACAGTGCAGAGCACCAACAAAGGGGAAGTAATAAAGAGGATTTGAGAGAAATATATTTTCTTTAATCTGCTCAGGGAAATCTCTGGAGGATAAAGATGTCAGGGTGTTCCAAGAAATAGTTTTCTAAAAGCGTATCTAATGTAATGCAAACACAAACATTACCAAGATCCAGAAATCCCCTTTTACTAAATGCCCCATTTAGGGTCAACTACTGTGAATTTTATAAACCTGTCTGCTTGCTAGGAGTACACTCTCTGAAGAGAGTTTGCTGATGGCAGTAGGCATGCATACAATGGTCTTGCCTGGAAAAGCCCTCATGCAAACCCTTAACAGAAATGGACGTCTGCTCATATTTCCCAATATCACTAAAAGTGAATATCCAAATAACCAATGAGTCAGGAATGAAGGGAAACTTCAATGAGTTGGTAGAATTTTGTGGGGTCCCTAAAGGAGCAAGTTATGTGCCTGGATGTTGTAGAAGAAAGCAGAAAGATGATTCCTATTTCAGATAGGTGCATTTCCATGTATTTTATCTTGTCACATATTACATCATCTCTATTATATAGGTGAGAAAACTGGGGCCCAGAACCTTACTCAAAGATGCTTTCCCAGAGTCATACAGGTAGCCACAAATGGAGGTGACATCTGAACCTAAGTGTGACTGGCTTAAAAGCCTTCCTTTTTGCTTCAAAAAGGAATATTATACTCATAGGTAAAATGGGTGGTATATACTCTTATAGAAGTAGGTAAAAGAATAGAAGGGGAATGAGGGAGTCATAAGCCAGGCCATAAAATACAAATGTGATGAGAATGATTGCCTTCAAGAAGGATGGAAAGAAAGAAGACTTTGGCCACTATGTTTAAGATTACATGAGGGAACAGAGCATAATAGTTAGGTTCTGAAGTATCTTAATGGTCAACCATCCATCCAATACTTCTATTCCCTCTCCCTGAATACATTCCTCTCATAAAGTCACCAGTCTCTAGCAAAACACCTCTAGTCCCATTTTGGGATATAATTAACTGTTCCTTTTATGTTGAGACAAAGACCTTCTGCTTAAGTTTCTGCTTATTGTTTCAGTCTTTGGAGTCCCACAGATAGTTTTCTTCCTCTTTGACAATCTTTACAATGTGTTCACATCATCAAAACTATGGCTTCTCTGACTTTGGCATCCCTAGGGCCTTCAGCCTTTTCTCCACAACATGAGAAAGAAGAATATAATAGAGATAAAAATAAATCAGGACCTGGGTTAGGGGTTAGTGGTAATAGCTCAGATATATCATATGTTATATAGGAAGATTAGGAAGTGACATTGAGTGTTTAAAGCCAATTAGTAGGAGACAACTGAGATTGGTAACATCATCATTTTAAATTATCCATCCATCCATTGATCCATCCACCAACCATCCATCTATCCATCCATTCTGCACATACTGAACATCTCCCAAGAGACTGAGATACAAGGCACTGCAGAAGAAAAAGAAAAGAAAAAGATTAGATTATTGAGGACTTTGAAGAGCTTATATTCTATAAGGACTGAAGTTAGTTGGAGCTACTAATCTACTAAACAAATAAAACAAATAAATCAACTAACTAGCCCTAGGGAAGAATATGAGACTGAAATGGATTGCCCAGGAGGAACTGGGCATCATTTCCACATTGGAACTCAGATATTCTAGTTCAGGAAGGAGAGTCTGAGAAATCCACTGATAGGAAGTAATGAGGAGGGGATGGTAGAGGGGCCCTAGAGAAGCTGCTGAAGAGCCTCCTCTTCACATCAATGCTTTCCCTAGGGAAGATATCCATGAAGAACTGGCATGTCTAAGAGTTAGTACTTCCAATAATAGTACTCAGAGGAGCTTGATTTAGTAACTTTTTCCAACACTAGAGGTGTTAAGTCCCTTAGGAAATGTAGAGAGTAAATACATGATAGGGCAGTGGTGACCTTGGAATTTGAAGATTGAGGTATCACAATCAATACAGTCTCTGCTATGTACTTGCTTAGGACCTAGGAAAATCACTTCACATACATAAGTCTCAACTTACTTAATAATAAAATAACATTAACACAAGCTCCAGAGTTTTGTGAAGATTACATGATGTGAGATAATGGTGTCTAATTTAGAACCTGACACTAAGTAGGTATCTAATAATTTTTTACAGAAGGGGGAGTGATAGCAAAAGAAATATTTACAGAATAATTTGCTCTTTCTGTTCACATGCTGGGAATCTACATTGGGAAAGTTAACAAGGAGCAGAGCCTTCCTCCTATGAAAGACTAGATAGAATCCCCCCCTTATGTGAGTAACTTTCATCAATGTCAAAATTTGTCTCCACTATTCTATCTTTAATAGTATCAACTCCCAGGTAAAAAGCTAAGTAGAGATGACAGTTTAGGATATTCCTCTTAAAGTCATACATTAGGTGGGGAATAGGAACAGATCTGCTGCTTTCCGAGATAAACTGGTATGAATGAATTACCCCTTTATAGCCCCTTACCCCTTTCTGGGAATCCCACATTTTTACCTACCTTACTGCCAGGTTTGGGACCCCTCTTCTTTGGGAATTTCAAAGATTCAGCTGACTTGGATGGGGTAGAGATGGGATGGGAAATAAGGGTCTTGGGTGTTCGACCCCGCTTCTTTCCTGGTTTACGACCCCTCTGCCCTGGTTGATGCTCCAAGACAGTTTTGGTGCTGCTGTGGATGCTGGGCTTCTCAGTGTTCACATCAGACGCAGGGAAGGGATTCTTTGGAATCACAACTGCAAGAAAAAGACTCATTCTATCACGCCCTCCTTTGCCTGCATTCCCATCCCAGACAAGGAAAAAAGAATTTGCACTTTTGCTCAGGTAGTTTTGCACTAGGGAACTAGTTTCCTGTCATTTGACCCAAAAGTTTAAAAAAATTCAGAAGAAAACTGAATTTTAATTGGCTAGAATTGAAGGTTTAAAATTATTTATAGCAGCAAAAATATTAAAAATTTCTCCCCAGGTATCTTAGAGAAATATTGTGACCTAAGTCCAAGTTGAGGTACATGATCAGAACCATAGCGTCTGGGTTAGAATGGCTCTAAGGAATGCACAATCTTTTCTTGCTGAGAATGAAGATACAAGGCTCAGAAGAGAAAATGATGGCTTCGCCAGGTGATGCAGTGAGATGGGATAAGGACTCTGTTTTGAAACTGAGTACTGATGACCAAGTCTACATCAATCAACTTGAAGTTTTAATATGATTATTGTAGCAAGGAACAGTGAAACACATGGAAATATAAATCTGACAGCATGTGTCTTTACCTTAAAATCCTTTGCTCCTTAATACCTTTGAGAAGTTTAAATTCTTTATCATGATTTTCAAAGGCTTTTGTGTCTTTGCCCCTATCTTGCCCCCCCCCCCCATTATGTTTGATGTCATTTCCTGTCACCCATCTTTGTGTTCCAATAGTTCTACATATTAAGCTCTCTATTATTCTTGGTTAAGCATACATAACACTAAATTTTCAGCCCTCAATCCAGGGCTGCCTCCATACTGAGGCCTTCTCTGATCATGCCCTACTCAAGTAGAGCCCTCCCCAGTTTCTAAAAGATTTTGTAGATTTCTGTGTTAGAGTGCTTCTTAATTTTACTCTTATCCTTAAATTGAGATTTTTTTTGAGATAAGGAATATCTAATTCATTTCACAAAAGTTATTGAGCACTTACTACAAGTTATGCACTGTTCTAAGCCTTCGCAATAGAACAGTGAAAAAGCAGTTTCCAAGCTCACGGAGATTTTTTCCTAGAGGGAGAGACAGAAAGTTGACAAACAAATACACAGATAACATCAGACAGTAAAAAGTGTAAGGGTAAGGAAACTGAGGTGGACCAAAAGTCCTCTTCAAGGAGATGACATTTACACAGAGCTCCCAAATGAGGCAAAGGCAGAAGTCTACGAAGATCTGAGGAAAGAACCTTGCAACTATAGAGTGTAACAAGTGTAAAGATTCTGAAATAGGAATATGTTAGTGTGTCTGAGGAATGGAAAGGAGTCAGTAAACTGAGTGAGCAAAAGGGAGAGTAGAGAGAGATTAGGTTAGAGAAGGAGCAGCAAGAAGACTGAGTAGGACTCTGCAGACATGAAAATGAATCGAACTTATTCTAGGTATGAAGGGGAGTCCCTGAATGGGGAGTGACATGGAACTGCTCTGACTATCCTGTGAGTGGGGCAAGAGTAGAATTAAGGAACCAGTTGATTACAGCAGATGGGTAAAAGATGCAGAATATGTTCTCCAAGTATAGTGAAGTTTATGCAGAAATCAATGTTAACTGTAGGAAGTCTTATCCATATGGAAAACAGTGAGACTTGACCCCTAACTCACACTAGATAATAAAATTAACATGAAAACAAAAACACCAAACATCTAGAATAACACAAGGGGAAAATCATCAAAACTTGGGTTAGGCAAAGAATTAATTAAATAGGGTACAAAAGCATTAATTATAAAGGAAAAGAATGGCATATAACTTCATTAAAAGAAAACATTTCTGGGCTGGGGTTCAGTGGTAGAGCACTTGCCTAGCAAGTATGAGGCCCTGTGTTTTATCATCCTTAGCACCATGGGGGGAAAAAAGAAAGAAAAAAATCTCCATTCATCAAAAGACAAAACTAAAACTGAAAAGGACAATTCAGGGAGTAGAAAAAATATGTGAGAAAAATAATATCTAGCATATGTAAAAATGAGTAATAGAAAGATTGACAACCTAATTTTAAAAATGGCTCTCAAGAGGCACTTCACAAAGATGGATATAAAAGTGGATAATAAACATATGAAAAGTTGCTAAATATTATTGTCAGAAAAATGCAAATTAAAACCATCATTATTACACCTCTACTCATATTGCCAAAATCAAAAGGACTGACAATGCCAGACAATGGTAAAGATGTGAAGCAACTAAAATTCAACATTGTTGTTGTGAACCTAAATAACTTTGAAAAATTGCTTCGTGTATATCCTATGACCTAACAATTCCACACCTAGGTCTATGTCCAAGATAAATGAGTATGACCACCAAATGATATGCACTAGAATATGTACCACAGCATCTTTCATAGAAAGGCAAAAATGGAAACAGTCTAACTGCCCAATAGAAGAATAGATTTTTAAAATGTGGCATATTTGTAGGGGGGGAAAATACTATACACAGAAATAAAAAGAATTATTGTTATATGCAGCAAAATTGATAAATCTCATTGCAAAAAATGTTAGACAAAGGAAACCAGAATATATGATTCCCTTTATATTAAGTTTGAAAATATAAAAACTAATCTAGATGATAGAATAGTGAATACCTTTGGGGGTGTTGAGTAGGTAAGGTTTTGACTAAGAGAGAGCATAAGTGAGTCTTCTGGGTGCTGGAAATGAACTGTATCAATATAAAATAAATGAACAAAAAAGACAAAAGATAATGGTGAACTGGAATCTTAGAATATAATCATATTATTGAAAAGGTTGAAAAATAGTTGGATTCAGAATACACTTTGAAAGAAAAGCCGACAAGCATGGATAGTAAACAGAACATTAGAAAACAGAAAACACAGAATTATACTGAACAGGTTCAATTAAAATCATATTTAGCTATATTCCATTTATGTAAGATGTGTCAAAATGCATTCTTCTGTCATGTATAACTAATTAAAACAAATAAAAAAGTCATATTTAGCATGGTGGCACATGCCTATAATCCCAGCAACTCAGGAGGCTGAGGCAGGAGGATTGCAAGTTCAAGGTCGGCTTCAGTAACTTAACAAGAATCAAAATTTTAAAAAAATTATATTTAATAAAAAAGAGTAGTCATGGATGATCTGATATTATTAGAATATGGGAGAATAAAGATGTCATTCACCAGGATAGGAAACCCAGAATTTACTTTTTAAATATGCTTTTTGTGAGATACCTATTAGATATCAAAATATGGAGATACTAATTAGGCAATTTAATATATGAGTCTGGAATTTAAGGGAGAGGCCAGGACTAGAGATAAAAATTTGAGAATCATCAGTATGTAAAGCCATGAAACTAGATGAGATCTTGTTGGATATGAGTGGAGTCAAGAAGGAAGAAAAAATTTGTTTCTGAGACACTCCAATATTTAGAAGTTGTAAAGTAGAAGAGGGTCTAGCAAAGGTCACTAAAGAGTGACCCATGAATGCAGAAGATGAGAAGAGTGTGAAGTTCTAGAAGTCAGTGAAAAGAGTGATCTAAGAAAGGTAGCACCTCCACTCAGTGATCAAAGTTGACATCAAAATAGGACACACTGACATGATGTGATGCACTGAGGGTACCAATTCACAGAGGTGTTCTTTCTGCCCATAGTCAGCAATCATGAATCACACAAACCAAAACTGAGGCACATTCAAAATAATAACTGGTCTGTCAATATCATAAAAAAAGACAGAACGATTCCAGATTCAGAAGACTAAAGTAATGTACAGCTAAGGTGATGAATGATCTTGTATCAGAGCCTGCATCAAAAAAAAAAAAAAAGTTTTGGGAAGAGAATATTAGAATAATTGACAAAATTTGCATGCTGTCTATGAAGTAATATTTGATGCCAAGTGTAGCCTACTGTCTGATGTTGAATTCATAAGGGATCCTTGGGAGCACCATATGCATTATGTAATAAATCTGAAGATATAACGTATGATTCAGCAATTCCAGTTTTAGGTATAAATTCATGAGAAATTCTTGCACATGTACACCAGCATATGTGTAAACTTATGCTCATAGAATATTATTTGTAATAACTGAAACTTGAAATAATCTAAATGTTTACTATAAATAAAATGGATTTAGGCTGTGGTGTACCTTATTGATAAGGACATGCTTAGCATAAGTGAGGCCCTTAGTTTGATTTCCAATACTGGCATGTGCATGCACACATAAAGATTTTAAAAATGTTACAAAGTTGGCAGTTCTCAGAGTGTGGTATGGGGGACCCAAGGGGGCCCTTAAAAAACCTTTTGAGGGTCTGTGCATATTAATAATGATGTTAAACATTATTTTTCTTTTCACATACATTCCATTGTGGTGGGAATCTTCCAGAGGTTACGTGTATAATGTCATATGTGCTTGCATATTCTATTTACTTTAAATACATTATTTATTATTATTATTTTTAAAAAGCAGCTTTCTGGGTATACTTTTTGTATATAAATATGCATGTGAATGTATACATGGTGAATGTGGATGTATGCATATATCCATGATTCACAATCAAGACAATAAACATTTATTACCTCTAAAAGTTTCCTCATGTCTCAGTCTGTGTGTGTGTGTGTGTGTGTATTAAGAACACAACATGAGATCTAACCTCCTAACAAAATATTAAGTGCACAATACATATTGTTATTATAGGCACCATTTTATAGAGCAGTTCTCTAAAACTTATTCACCTATGTAATTGAAACTTTATATCCATAGCCCCTTCCCAAGCCTCTGGCATCCATCATTCCATTTTCTGCTTCTATGTATTTAATTATTTTAGATACTTCATATAAGTGGAATCATATAGTATTTGTCCTTTTATGACTGTCTTCATTCACTTAGTAAAATGTCCTCTGGGTTTTTCCAAGTTGTTACAAATGGTAGGATTTTTTTCTCCCTGTCCATTTTTAAGGCTGAATTCCACTGTGTACATATATACAATTTTTATTAATCTGTTCTTATGGTAATTGAAATTTGGGTTGTTCCCATGGAATATGTGCTTGTATATTCTCATTTTTACAA